TAAGAACATGTTTTCCTCTGAGATGTGACAGAAAACTCCTGAGAGCCAAATGGACAGCACGCAACTCCAAAACATTTATGTGGTCCAAGCGATCCGCGGCAGACCAAACCCCTTGAGCTGTTCTGTGCTGGCATACCGCGCCCCATCCTGTGAGGCAGGCGTCTGTGGTGACCACCTCTCTGCGACACACCACAAGACCCATGGGGACCCCTTGCGACAAATAGCTCCTGTCCCTCCAGGGGGCCAGTGCACGGGAGCACTGCCATGTCACTCTGAGCATTCGTCTTCGATGTCCTGTGGCATCCAGATGAAAACTGTTTAACCACCTCTGTAGCGGACGCAGTGACAGAAGGCCGAGAGGCACAACTCGTGTGACAGAAGTTAGCTTTCCCACAAGCTGAAGAAAGGCGAGAAAGGGGTGCAGACTGCCCAGTCTGAAATGAGAGACCAAAGCCTGAATGTCGTCTAGGCGACGAAGGGATGGGTGAGCCTTCATCGTCACAGTGTTTAAATCCAACCCAAGAAAGGTTGTTGTCTGAGATGGAGTCAGGTTGCTCTTCTCCATATTCACCGTGAAGCCCAACCGGGCCACATGTGCAAGCACGTGACCTGTGTCCTGCTTCGCACGTGCTTCGGATGGAGCACAAATCAGCCAATCGTCCAGGTATGGCAATATCTTCAGTCCGGCGGCTTGCAAAGGAGCAAGGGCCCCCTTCACACATCGGGTGAACACCCTTGGAGAGAGGGAGAGCCCGAATGGAAGAACCCGGAACTGCCAGTGATGGCCTCGATAGGCAAACCTGAGAAACCTCCGGTGTTGTGGTGCAATGGGCACATGAAAGTAAGCGTCTTTGAGGTCTATAGACGGGAACCATTCCCCCGCTGCGAGGGCTTGAAGAACCTCTGCTGTGGTGAGCATGTGGAATGGTAAGACCTTCATGAAACGATTGAGTCCCCGGAGATCCAAAATGGGACGAAATCCACCTGTCTTTTTGGGTACGATGAAATACGTTGAGTAGTAGCCCCTGGGTTGCAGCAGGGGATCTACTGCTTCGATGGCCCCTTTGGATAGGAGGGCGGACAGCTCCTGATCCAATGCTCGAGCTTTTGCCAGGTCGTTGATCATAGTCATCTTGACCCGACCAGACATGTGTGGCCGGCGTCGGAACTGCAGCCGGTATCCATGAGCCAACGTGGCAACCACCCATGGATCCGACGCATGAGCAGCCCAATACCTGAGCTGCTGATGGGAAAAGTATCCGACAGCCGGCCTCAAGGTTTCAATTTCTGGCCCCACGGCCCCTAGGGGCCTTGGGGGGGAAGCGGCCTGTGTCCGCAGTTCTGGACTGCCGCATTGGTTGGCGAGGTTCATGACGAAAAACCCTGCCAGGCCTGTCCCGAGGGGATGGCTGAGTGCTGGAGCCAGCAGTCTGGTGCCTTGGCTGCCGAGGAGGGGGCATAGCTCTGCTAAGGCCGGAGAGCTGCTGCCTTGTCTGTCGAGCATGGGCAGTTCGTTCTAATGCCTCCAAGGCAGCCGAACCAAACAACTGTCCTGGTTCCACAGGTACACTGCGGAGAGTCCTACGGGATGCCTCCGTCAGGGGAGATTGAGCGAGCCAAATCTGCCTGCGAGCCTGAACCAGAAAAGACATAACACGTCCAAGTTCCCGTGTCATCAAAGCAAAAGCCTGTAATGCAGCATCACCAACATCAGTAGCCATTGCAGCACCCTCCCCCCCCGGAGGGAGGCAGAGAGGGCAAACAATAAGTGTGCCAAAGAATTGCCCAGACGACCAGCCCGCGCACCGGAGTTGTACGCCCTGCAGATAAAGTCATCTGTCACACGGCACTGAGGTCTCGGACACCTGACATCTTGGCGCAGGGCTTCCTCGGGTGAGACAATGAGAGAAGCCACAGCCGGTTCAACAGCAGGCATGCGATCCAGACCAGCTGTTGTTGCATTGTGCATCGTGGCCAAAACACGGCCATCTGACGAGAGCCTGGAGAAAGCACTCGGATCCCTCCAACAGGCATGCAACTCTCTGAGATATTCCTCAGAGGGGGGTACAGCGAAGGGTGTAGGAGGACGCCCGCGTCTAAAAAAAGCACTACCAAGGCCAGACTGTTCAGGTTTTGGAAGTTCCAGCTGCAAATGGTCCAGAGCTCTGCGGATAACATCTCGCATGGAGCCATCAGCTGAGTCACTACCGAGGCTCTGTGTGGAAGTATATGAACCATCCTCTGAAACACGTGAGGAAGGTACATCCTCCTCATCCTGAAAATGAGAAGCAGATACTGCCAGAGAAAGCACATCATCCTCTGGGGTCAGAACAGGCATTGATCGGGAAGACATCCCAGCCTCTGAAGCAGGTGCAACCATGCGGGGAGCCTGCAATAATGACTTCATCACCTCCAATTCTGCTGACAACTGCTCTACTTTAGATGCAAGAGCTTAATCAGACTTAGACCTCTTTTTGGGCGGAGCTCTCGAAACGGTAGCCTCAGGACGGCGCTTTGAACGCCTAGGAGGGGGCAATGGTACCTGCCCTGATGGTGGGAGATCGCCACCACCTGCGGTGTCTAGTTGAGCCATCCTTGCAGTCCTGACAGGAAGTGGCATGCAACTGCAAATTATACATGAATTATCCGACAATGCCTTCCTGAGATGGTCAGGGCCGAGGCATGCTGGACAGAGGTCGTGGCCATCGTAACCCTGAAGGCCGGACCCGCAGGCCACACAACAATGAGCGCCGTCCATTAGTCCGGTGTAATGAAACGAGCACAGGCACTACAACCGACGCAAAGAACAGACAGCTAGACAGCGGTCAGACGTAAGCAGAAACAGGGCGGGAGAGGGGGCGGAAACGCAACCTTCACCGACCAACGCACAGGGCCACAATATGAGGCAGCCTGCTAACTGACAGGCAGTATCAGGCCTGCAAAGCCAAAACTGGGAGTGGGGGCGCAAACGCTGCCATCACCAATTAAGGCAAAATGCAAAATGAAAACAACCAACAACGTTGGTGATAGACGCTGTGCGTTGTGCAGGAGACAGTAAAAGTAATATAACGGGAGAGGGCGCTGGAACGCAGCCTTCACCGAAGGACAGAACACAAACCAAAAACAACAACGTTAGCGATAAACGTTGTGTGTTGTGTAGTTAACAGCAAAAAATAATGTTACGGGAGAGGGCGCAGGAAAGCAGCCTTCACCCAAGGACAAGATGCAAAATGAAAACTACTAACAACGTTAGCGATAAACACGGTGCGGTATGCAGTTGATAATAGAAATAATATCACGGGAAAGGGCGCAGCACGGCAGCCTCACCGGAAGACAGAAAACAAACGAAAAACGACTGACAATGTCAGCGACAAATACTGTGCGTTGCGGAGTAGATAGCAAAATAATATTGCGGGAGAGGGCGCAGGAACGCAGCCTTCACCGGAGGAAAAAATGAAAACAAAAGACTGATACCTTCAAATAGTCGCAGCCCTCGGAGGGTGAAAAAGCCGCTGCTCCGACCACGGCGGTGAAAGGGCTTCAAGCGAAGAAGCGCGCAAGCGAGAAGAAATGAGGAACAGAGTCACGGATGACGAGGGAATATATTACCTCCGGGGCGTCATCCTTGGTCACAGGTGTGACCCGATCCATGGGTGTGACTCATTTGGTATTATTACTCGAACTGCGCATGTGCGAAGGGAACATTCAGTGCTTTCAGCACCGCCCTCTGGCAGTCAGGAGGGATGAAATAGAACAGAAAGTGCTCCACTGTGTTTTTAAACTCCACACATCTTCGCTAGAATCTTTTGGATAAATACAGCCTCGGAATTGACAGTCAGTTTGGTGTTCAGAATCTAAACTGTGACCATCCTGCTCTCAGTTCCATTTGGCCCATTCATATTGGACTTTGTCATGAAATATCCAAAATATAAATTCACAATTGCTGAACCTGATCATTTCTATCAGTGACTTGACCCAGGAGCTCACTGAATTACAAAAAACAAATCTGCATTTTCACAATATTAATTTTAGCTGCTCCCATCTGTGTTAAATATTATCAGCCTGTAGAACGTCGATGTCGTCTGAAACTAAAATGACACAAAAAACAAAACAAAACAAAAAACAGCAGTGCAACCAGCGTTCATGTAGGTCTTGTTCAGATCTGTGCGTTGGTACAATCCTACTACTTTTCAGTGTCTTATGCTCAACTATTAATATGTTTTAATTTAATTCTGTGCACCATACTCTCCCTTGAAGACTGATACACTCTGAGACACTGCGAGTGAGTCTGAAAACATCTGAAGTGTAGTGATATAAATCTGAAACTTGTTCTGTGGTTTACTCATATAAAAGAAAAGAAGAAAGAAATATATTACACGTTTTTCATCATGTGATGTTTTCATATAAAAAAAATAAGTAAGTTTATGTGTAAAAAACATTTGAGAGGTTGATATTTCTTGCTTCACTTTGTCGTCATATTAGACATATCAGGATTTTGGAAGTCTTGCTTTGTATTTGAGTTATCTAAATTAACAGAAAATTTGCCTAAAAATTCAAGTTTTGCCTCATTTTTTGGAGTTAAAACTTTAATAAAGCATAATTAGATATAAAAAATACACACATTTAGTACATTTAGTCAAAATCTTAAAATAAACGCTGTATAATAAATAGAAGGTTGTAAAGTTTGGTGTGTTTCAGTGCTGCTTTCAGGGCTGATCCTGATGAACCTAAGAGGGAAAAATGCAGTTTGTGAAAATCGCCTTTGAAATGACAATGTCCCGTATAGCTCTATGACTGCAGGTTGATTAAATTAAATACTAAAACACAGTTTCCACATGAAAGTTTGTATTCTCAGAGACCAAACTGACCAAAAATAATAATAACGGGCGACACTGCAGGCAAAACGTTTTTCAATTAAGCAGCGGTCCTTCAAGCACTTTGAAAAATAATCCCAAGATTTTGTTTATTATAAAAATTGATTAAAACTTTAGGCAAAAAAGTGACAAAGAAGTAGAAAATTTATTGCAGTATTGTTCCACCAAAAGGATATAAATACCCCTCCTCTTATGTGACCTAAAACATCAAAATGTACATGTACAAAATATCCTCCCGTTGGCCACGGTTACTGCATGCGGAGCTCGAAATAGAATAAATTATACCAGGACTCTCGCCATTTTACAGAATGGACAAATAAAAGTGAATAAAATAAAAAATCTTATTTTTCTGTTACTTTTTACCGTTTTCTTTCAAATATCTAAAAACTAAAATGAACTCATCAGGATGCTTCAGCGCAGAGTTTATGCACAGACGTTTTATCTGAAAAATGCTCCTCGACATTAGACTGAGCGGCACAACACACAACACGTGTTTCTTTGCCTGATTTTTATCTGTGCGGCTTTTGTTTTTGCACCCCAATAATTCATCTTCTCAACACGTGGACTCAAAGCACGTTATTTAAAGAGAGAAATGTCTGCATCGGTGAGAAAAGTTTCCCTGTTCACTGCTTTTCGATTGTTGACTTGATTTTCTTGTTTTAAAAGCTCAAGTACAAACTAAACATTGAACAGAGTTGTTGATATGTTATTAAACTGTAGCTGCTCTTTCACATTTTACACGTGCTTTGAGCTTTTACAGCAGAAATGTCTTTACTCACCACTGATAATATTTCCGCTCATTCTAAAAAAGTGGGACTGTTGTGTCGTCATGTGCATAACCTCCACACTAAACTCCAAAACACTTGAATAAGAACATCAAAAAGACTAATTTCCAACATTCACTTAAGGTTTTATTCTTTTTTTACAGATTTTTTGTCTTCAGATATAAACATTTTCGTTTGTTGTGTTAAACTATAATACAGTGGGAGTAGAAATGAAGGACTAGAATCTGCTGCACAACAGCGAAGGAGCTCCCACTACAATGTCGACGAAACATTTCCTCTGGCATCAGTCTGGAACGCTTTTCCTCGGCTGAATTTTTTCCTTAAAACGCCTCCGGATTCCTTCTTCTAAATCTGCACTTTACACGGACACAAGATAATCAGTCCCTCTTTAGAATAAGTCTTTTTGCAAGAATAACTCGTGTAAAAGTATGTAGTGTCAAATCTCTCCCGTTACAAAATGAGGAAGGGAGAAGGGGAGAGGAATCCAGTGAAGTTTGGCGTGGCTGAAGGAGGTGGGGATGGGGGTTCTCGAAAAGTACAAACTGAAAAAAAAACAACCGCACACAGCAGGGACTATTAGCTAGCCCCGCCTTCCCTCGCCGCATACAACGACCTTAAAGTCTGTACCACTTTGTTGCTCAGTTTATGGTTGCTGGTCAAGGCAATCTTTTTGTAAATAATGTCCGATTCCTTTATAGTGTCCACCCAAGGCACGAGTTTGCGTCCATCGCGTTTTTTAGCCTCCGCCCACGGCCCCGAGTAGGAGCCTGCCATCCAGTTGACCGTGTAGCCGTGCGAGCTCTTCTGGACCACGCGCGCGATCTGCGGTCTGTCTTTGTATTTGGGGCAGTGCAGCGCGATCACGTCCATCACCTCCACCGTCTCGCTCATGCGGCCCGGGTCCGAGTCGCCGCGTCGGGATTTTCGAGAAGACTAAAGGCAGAAAGAGAAGAAGTATTTAGAGTAGGTCCTTTGAAATCCAGTGTATTATTATTATTATTATTACACAGAACCACCAGTTTAGCAGTTCATACACTAAATGTTTCTGAATTTCTACTGAATTTTGCAAACTGAAAAGCATTTACGAGAAAATGTGCACTTCTTTTATCAAATATTCACCTCCAATAGTATGGTATTGTGCTTTTTATTTGTACAGGGACAGTGAAGAACAAAAACATGAACCAAGACAAAAGTTTGAGGAGAGATGCTGGTGCCAAGTCCAAGAGGAGTTTGGTGGGACTACGGAAAATACAGATTAAATACACAAAAGTTCAAAAGTTTTAGAACCCCACACTTTCTCCAGTTTACTGTGTCATTGTACAAGGCAATTTGAGTATTTGATGGCATGTTTTTTATGTTAGTTGAAGGACAGTTATTCTCATATTCCTTACTGTATGAAGCTTAAGTCTGTTACTTCCTAAAATTACGTTAGGGAATGTTAGACCATTTGTTGCTGCTGTTGCTAAGGTAAAGTTACGGGACGAGGGGGCTTTTTTTACTCTCACACACCTGGGATTCTGTCCTGAGGAATTCGGACTGCAGATGGCGCTGTCATCCTGCCTCCACCGACAGGAAGACAGCGCCAAAACCTGTTTCATCACCTGTTTCAATCAGCTGATCGACACGACACAGAAACATCACGTGACTCTGAGGAAGACTGAGTGAGCAGTCGAAATTGTCAGGTATGAAAATAAAACTCTTGGTCTGAAAAAAGAACCTAATAAATTCTTAGAAGACCAGATGAACCTCACTGGCCTAAAGTTAAGTTGTCACAGTCACTTTTTACGACTGCAGTTGTTGCCTGACCATGTATTGATCACTCTGACATAAGTCCCACACCTGTTGTCCACCACAGTGTATAAAAACTGTCTGTTCTTGAGACTCAATCTCTCAGCCTGAGCTCTGTAAGTGTTTATATTAAACTTTAAGAAAACGCTCTTGTGGTCCTCACCTCTTTTCTTATAACAGCAACTTGAAACTCATGATATCAGTATTCTAAACTTTTGATTCATGAACATGTCCACCTTTAACAGCTGAATACATTCATTCTTTCTACAGTAGAAATCAAATATTGTTCAGAAAGTTCTTCCCAAGTTTGTTGCAGAAGCTCCCATAAATTTGTGGCACTTGTAGGTCACTTCACTCTTTTTTCCTGAGCTTTTCTTATTAAAAGTACAAAACTATAGCTCTGCGCTGGCGGTATTCGGTAGTGTTCAAGTAAAGGCTTCTTTGTGCCCAAAATGAGGAACAGTCGGAAAATGTTTGGGACTCGATGGGGTTTAAGTCTGGACACTGTGCTGGACGCTCCAGGTTTTCAAGTTTAACATCTTTTTCTTTTTTCCTGAGGTAGTTTTGGCAGAGCTTGAACTTGAGTTTTGCATCTTTTATCTTTTATCTTAACCTCTGGCTGTTCAGTTTTTACCTTTGTATCATTTCAAGTCTCTTCATTGGACTTGCACGACTTGAATTGCAATAAATAACCTGAAAAATTAGGGCGTTCTAAAACTTTTGACTGGTAGTGTATATAAAAAATAAACAAATACTACATCACAGGCTCACAGTGTTCAAATACTATTCTAAAATTAAAACACACATAAAAACAAACATTCTTACCCACTCCCCTAAAAATCACAACATAAAAAAGTACTGTGACATTCTCTAAAGCCTCATCTCGTAAGCGTATCCCTCCGCCCTGCCCGTCTCACCCCTGGCGCCCGCTCCTCTCCTTCGCTGTCATCGTCGTCCGTCTCTGGTCCGGGGCCCTGGTGTCTGGGGCTGGGGCCGCACAGGACAGTACTGGAGCTGCCCAGAAGCGCGTTTATGGCTTTGTTTCTGATGTTGGCACTGGCCGAAGCCTCACCCTCCTCGTCCTCCTCGTCCGGATCCAAGTGCTCCATCAGAACCTTGAACTGGAGCAGGGGAAAACGCAAACACAAACAATTCAGACATTCAGTAAGTGTTTTTATCGTCTTTGAAACTGCTTTGGGTGAGATAAGTGAATGTATTTGCTCATTAGTCGCTTACATCGAGGTACTGCTTGACGATCCTCCTCTTCATGTCCTCCGTCAGGGTGGCATGGGCCATGTTGTTGGAGATGAAGTCGATGGTTTGTCGCGGGTGAAAGAAGATGTTGTTTTTCCTGTTCACGGCTTTGTCGTACACTTTGGCCGACTCCGTGGGCGAATATTTCTGGATTTTACTGTGGGGAAAAAGAGAAAAATCAGGATAACGTTAAACTCAGCTGAAGTCTGGTAAATATGTCTGACACAATGACACATTTTGATGCGCAATATGGCTACAGAGATAAACTGCAATAAACGATAATGAAACTACTACGGCTGTAACGCTCGCCAAGTTTCACGATACGATATCGTCACAGTATGAACCTCACTGTACGATATTTGCGGTATCGTGGGAAAGCTCACAATATGGGTATGGGATACGATTAGGGATGTAACAATATCCAAATCTGTCGTACGATATTTTCACGATATACATCTCACGATACGATATTTACTGCGATATTTTGTGAAGCCGAACTGAATATGTCACTTTTTCCTCTTCAAATGCCTTGACAAGACTTAATCCAAAGAACTTAAAAGTGTTTAGAACTGTTATTTCTTCTTGTAGTCTACACTGAACTGGAGCAAAGGATCATTGTCTATGTAGTTCCCCGTCTTTTTTTAGCTATAGCACCATAACTCTTATGGTGGCAAAGAGACTTGTAATTCGATATATTGTGATGGTCCACGATATTATTGTGAGAACTTTGACAGTACAATATCAGGATATTTTGATTATTATTGTTACATCCCTAAAAACTATTTTATGCCACTGACACACTGACAATAATCCTGTAAGTCATTTCAAATAGACAGTCGTAGCTGCAATAGCTAATCTGAAGTTACTTTTTCAACCCTCTAAACAAATCTCCAAACTTTTACAAACAAATTGTGCACACATTTTGAGCCCCAAAATATATACAGTAGTTAAACACTAACTATTGTGACAGGCCTATTGGTAAAATTATGTGAAGTTGCACTGGGGGAAGGGCAGCATGCAGATGTTTTATCCTGGATGAATGTTAAAGCTGCACTCTGTCAATTTTCTCGTGCAGTGTCCAACATCTGCTTGAAATATGATTTGGTTTTATCTGGGAGACACTATCAGAGTATCTCCAAGGATTTAGGCCAGGGGTCTCCAACCTGCAGCTTGGGAGCTACCAGTAGCTTTCCACCCTCTTAACAGTAGCTCGCCAAGGGATTTATGAATTATACGTATTGTGCTGAACATCTCAAATTTGACTACCGTAAATTCCACAATATTAGACGCGCTCTTAAGCCTCTAACCCCATCAAAAAATGTCTGCACGTCCCACAATCCAGAGCGCTCCATACACAAATCCACTCAGGTGTCCCAGCACGACTTCAGTAAACTACAAAGCCGCACCACCAGCAGAACACACAAACACACACGGAGCAGACAGCGACCGCACAGCCAAACACACCCACAGACACACTCATCACTCCACGCCGACAAGGAACGGAACGGAGGAACGAACCGAAAAAGCGAGTGCAATGTGCCACTTCTAGACACAACTGAACAACTGAGTCACTGCAAACACGCCGACAATCCAGCGGTCCCAGACAGCACACCCTCCCTACACGCCACAACTGAACAAAGCCCAGAGTCACCGTGAACGCCACAAACAAACAAAACCACTGACCAATCCAACTGTTGTGTTTCCTTTAAAGTCCGGGGCGGTTTATTTGTGAAAAAAGTTCAAAAATAGACCATTTAATGACAGTGCGTCTTATAATCCAGAGCGCCTAACAGCCCGGAAAATACGGTAAATTTGGTTAATGTGTTACTTTGAACATTGTACTCTAATAAATAGATACTATTTTTAGGTTTTATAGACATCTAACTGTACAACATCTAAGGCTTGCCCTCTTACAGCAACTCAGTCTCTTGTGACCGCTAAAATGAGTAGCTCTCCGGAATGCTCGAATGTCATGAAAAAATACCATTAGGCCGACCTATGATCTTTAAAACTGACTGTGAAGAGGCAGAGTAACAGTAAATGCTCAACTTAAAATCTAATAAAGCCAGACCTAAGTTTTATAATGTGTTGAAGATTTACAGTGAATTTTTAACACTAAATATCTATCAGTGGTTCCCTCAAAGCTCTTTTTATCAGTATCCTATTGGACCCTCACAAAAAATCCATATTATTTGGGCCTTATTTTGTGCTGTTAAACAAGACCGTCTGAAATATTACAGTCACACAGCACAGACCAACCATTTTCTCTCTTTTTTGTTGAAGATCAAATCCTAAAATGTGTGTGTACATGCAGTCCGCTTCCCCGATGTGAAAGTATAAAAACGTACCTGTCAGAGAACCCGTACAGGTTCTTGAGGTGTTGCTTGAGCACCAGCAGTAACAGAATTCCCTGAACGGCGTTGGCGAAGTCCAGAAGTCCGATGGGGTTGTCTGGGAGACGCCTCATCACTTTGTCCACGTCCTCCACGTCCAGATCCTCCAGGTCTGAGTCGGACTCCGATCCGGAGGCCGGAGCGCCGCGTTTACTGGGCTTTTTGGGCCGCCGTACGTCGCCCCGCTCCTCGTCGTCGCTTTCGCTGTTTTCGCTTCGGGAGGAGTCGCAGTTCATCTTCCCCTCGTCCTCCTCTCCGTCCGACGCTCTCCTCCACTCCTTCTTCACCTTCTTCTCTTTGCGTCTGGGCTCCTTTAATAGAAGCTGTGCACAGAAGAAGAACCATTGGAGCAGATTAAATACACGAAAGGCCAGATCAGGTTATAATTTGCACATTTTAAATCTCAATATTGATCTAAAATGACTTGATAAAGAAAACAAATCCACTGACAGCCCGATGGGAGCAGACATATGGACAGCTTAGCATCACACCAGCAAGCAGCAGTTTTTTTTAAAATCACCATTCAAAAAAATACAGCTGGAAAATGACGCAAGTACATAAAATAAGTGATTAAAGATTGCTCCAACATGCACCTGTCATTCCAAATAGAACTTCAAACAACTAGAGAAAAAACTAGAACATGGTTGAAGGCTCTGAAAAGTCAATTTTGCAGAATAAGTCTGGTTTAAATGCGAACTAACCTAATCTAACACATTTACCGTAATTTCCGGACTATAAGCCGCTACTTTTTTCTCACACTTTGAATCCAGCGACTAATAAAACGATGCGGTGAGCGTATGAAGGGATTCTTTGTTTGGCACATTGTCCATTCATTTATACGGTCTGTGGTTTGGCAACACAGCGGATAAGGAAGCAGCCTGAGTGCAGAAAACACCGCTGTCTATGCGGTTAGACATAAAACATGGGTTAAAAAGAAGGTGCAGCGTATGCGAATGATGTTATCAGCACTAAAACAATTTACAGGGTTCTAAAATAAGTTATGATGCTAAATGAACATTAGTGAGGGGGATACGTCTTATCCGTGTGTGTAAATGACGAGAAGAAACGTCTCAAACTTCAGCAGCCGCACATCCACTCACACCTGATTGATAGAACTAACCCCGCTCACGAGAGAGTCTGAAATCTACTGAAATCCTACAAGACACTGACATGATACAGACAGAACAGAGACTCTTTCTGCAGGAGACATGTGGAGTAGAGCGTGGGGAGAGAAGGGGGTGATGCGCCGAGGAAGCCACTTGTTTGTTTGTGCTTTGAACATTTATTTTGCGCTTCATACACACATCCTCTTAATGGAAAACACACAAAGAAATACAGATGATGCAGCTTTTAAGTTAACGGCGATTGATGTGACTGGGGAAGAAGTAAACAGAGCTGCTGCACGTGAACTCGACATAAACGAGTTGATGGTGAGACGTTGGCAACGGCAACGTGATGAACTGACTCAACGCAAAAAGACGACAAAAACTTTCAGAGGCGATAAAAGCAGACGGCCCGAACTTGAAAATGTTCTTGAAGACGTGGACACCTGCGGCTTATATATGTACAATTTAAAAATTTAGTTCAAATTTAGCTGACGCGGCTTATATTCAGGTGAACTCTAGAGTCCGGAAATTACGCTATACTAAATTAATAAAGCCGGGTTACCTCTCTGAAGGTTTGCAGCAGGTTGCTCCCAGACACAGACAGAGTGATGTCGATGTGGTGCATGATGAACAGAGGCTCCTCCTGACTCTGATACGGGAAACAGGCCAAATTATCTGCCACGAACAGCAGCATGTTCACCTCCGTCTTCTACAGTGACACACAAAGACACAAAAGGTTTAGGTAACGTCATTACGCCATTATTACAACACATTTAAAGGGCCATACCACTGTATTTTCTGATCTATATTATGTTTTCTCATCACAAACAGACCTGGAGTTGTGTTTTGTTTCATTCACAAATTTTTTAACACAAATCCTGCATATTTAGGTTGAGTTCTTCTCTTTAAAAACCTTGTGATGTCAGTGTTTTCTGTTTATCTCCCTACACCTCCACTAGAATAATTTTGATCATTTCAGCCCTGGAACTGCCAATCTCTACTGAACTGAAGGTAAAAGGTTAGACTGAAAACTACATGACATCACAAGGTGGAACAGAGCATTTTGAGCTTTGCAGATGTAAACAGACTAATAATAAAGAATCTGCGTATCATTCGTTCATTTGTTTTTCAAAATAAAACCAAAAATAAGAAAACAAATAAACAACAATTTTCTTCATTATTTGTCTGAATTATTTGAAAAAACGAGTAACGCCATTTCCCATTTACATGACTTAAACTGTGATGCCGGACTTTCACTGAACCAGGAGGACTAAAACAGGACTAAAACAGGACTAAAAACAGGACTAAAACAGGACTAATCTGTGACATGAGAGAGAGTCGGGACTCTGAGCTCTGCACCGGTCCTTTGTGGTCACCTGATGGTCTACGTGGGTGCACCTCCAGGCTGTCCTGACACTCTGACACAGTCCTGGTTCAGTCCTGGTTCAGTCCTGGTTCAGTCCTGGTTCAGTCCTGGTTCAGTCCTGGTTCAGTCCTGGTTCAGTCCTGGTTCAGTCCTGGTTCAGTCCGTATGCGGCGCAAAAGTCTGGCATTGCAGTTTAAGTCACCAAAACGGTCATTGCCCGTTTTTCCATTATTCATTTAAACACAAAATTGAAAACTGAAAAAAACAAATCATTATCCGTTTTTTAATTTTTCTTATTTTTGGTTTTATTTTGAAAAACGAATGAACGAATAAAACACGGATTATAAAGGATTACTCAAACATGCGTGAATGAAACAAAACACAACTCCAGGTTTGTTTTTAAGAAGTGACATTATAAGACGACTTAAACCATACAAGAGGCAAATCTGTGTAATATAATGTATATAAAAATAAAACAACAGGTCAGAAAATAGTGTAATATGGTCCCTTTAGGCAGTGGTTTGAACGCTGTACTCACCGCGCTGTCGTCGAACAGGTTGAGCAGAGCGATGAGAAAGGCTCGGCGGTGCTGTCTGTTTCCTCTGATCATGGTGAAGAGGTGAGCGCACAGGGCAGAGTGAGTCTCGTCCTGTCTGAACCCGCGGATTATGGCTTTTCTGGAGGAGCTGATGGCCTGCTGCAGCGTGTACGACATCTTCATCCCAGCAACAGCCTTCATCTGAGAAACAGAGAGACAGGAGTTACATTACAAAGTTGACTTTTTTGAGCTTTAAGTCATGTTAGAATGTTGTTACCTCCTCAAAAACAAACCTGGAGTTGTGTTTTGTTTCATTCACACACATTTGAGTAAACCTTTATTATTAGTCTACATCTCCAAAGGACAAAATGTTAAATGTTAAAAACTGTTATCTTTTCTTCAGTAAAGATCGGCTGAAATTATATAAATTATTCTAATGAAATAAGAGTGTTTTAAGCCTCGTCTTAAGACCCACTTTTATTTTCTCACTTTTAACACCGCGTGAGTTGTGTGGTCCTCTGTGCTTTTTATTTATTTTACTTATTTATTGGTATTTTATGAGTTTTATGGTTCTGCTTTTATTTATTTAAATTTATTTGATTTTTACTGGTTTTATTGTTTTAGGACTGGTATGCAAATTTTTTTATCAATTGACCTTTTTTTTCTTTTTTGTTTTCGTTTATGGCCGTACAAACCAATAAGAATGTAAACGAAGGCACAAAAGTTTATTGTTTATGATTGTAAAAAATAAACCCTTACGAGAAAGAAAAAATATAAGGATATTTTTATCTACGTTTATGGTCATACAAACTAATACAAATCGTAGAAAATAAAAGGTAATGTTAAAGAAAATGTAAAAGAAAAGGTTAAAGAAAAGTACGTGTTTAGTTAATAGTCGTGGTTTTACTTGTGAAGACAGTAGCTCTAGTCTTGTAGGTATTTCTGTAAGTTTTTTTTTTTTTTTTTACCCCCTCAGGAGAAGGCTGTAAATGTATCAATTGACCTTTTGTTGTCTTCATTTTATGTTCTCTGCGCAGCACTTTGGAAACCGCTTCGTTTGTAAAATGTACTATATAAATAACGTCCAACTCCAGGTCTGTTTGTGACGAGGAAACAACATTATAACATTAGATCAGAAAATAGCAAAATATGGGCTGTTTATAGAAATGGTGGTGAGAACATTTGTTTATTTCTCAGCCAGCCTCTCTTCCATTACAAACACTGCTCTTTCATGGAGGACGTTTTGTCAGAACTCACATGAATGAAGCCGGTGTACTTCTTGTCGATCTCCACGAGCTGCTGGTCGGCCTTGTTCCTCATTGTGGCCTCTGGGTCTGTTCCTATGGCGATGAGGTAGGGCACGCACTGCACAAAAAAAAAAAAAAAAAACTCAGTAAAGACTCAAAGCTTCATATGATTATTACTACACCCACAATTGCTCAATTAAACATATTTGCCATATATTGAGGATAGTTTCAGCCGTAGAACCCAAAATTAGTTTTATTTAATCATGTTATCCTAAATAGTTGTGATGTTAAATTCCTACTACAGTATAAACTACTACGTCTCGCCTTTAATTTCTAACCACTGGTCATTTCTGTAGCCATATATCGATAATAAATTGTGTTATTGTGACAGGCCTAAGTTTTGGTAAATAAAGTTGTGATAAAAGTACAACAACTCGCCTTTATGTAACAGATAACCCAGTTGTAGGGAGTATCATCTGTTACTTAAGGGTGAGTTGTTGTACAGTTGTAGGGAGTATTATACAGTTGTAGGGAGTATTATCTGTTACCTAAGGGTGAGTTGTTGTACAGTTGTAGGGAGTATTATCTGTTACCTAAGGGTGAGTTGTTGTACAGTTGTAGGGAGTATTATCTGTTACATAAGGGTGAGTTGTTGTACAGTTGTAGGGAGTATTATCTGTTACATAAGGGTGAGTTGTTGTACAGTTGTAGGGAGTATTATCTGTTACCTAAGGGTGAGTTGTTGTACAGTTGTAGGGAGTATTATCTGTTACATACAGGTGAGTTGTTGTACAGTTGTAGGGAGTATTATCTGTTACATAAGGGTGAGTTGTTGTACAGTTGTAGGGAGTATTATCTGTTACATAAGGGTGAGTTGTTGTACAGTTGTATGTAGTATGGTATAAATGTAGTCCTGAATCTTCTTTTCTTCGTTATTATATTTTATTGTATTGTGTGAGTAACTGTGCCCAAATCATTTCCCTTGTGGATCAGTAAAGTTTGTCTAAATCTAAACTCTTGTGTACCGACCTGCACAGGGTGGATGAGGCCCTGGTTTAGCGTCAGTGCGATCACGTTGAGGGCGAAGTGTCTGACGCTGGATTGCGTGTGGTTAAACGCCTCCAGAACCTGCTTCAGATACAGCTGCATTATGGAACTGCTCATCCCAGAGGAGATGTCCCCCATCTCCTTCAGGTCCTCCTGTTTGGACAGCTTCTTCCCTAAACACCAAAATAGAAAATATCATCATCTAATCAGACAGGGTTAAACAATGACATAAAGTAGTCACCAAGCCATGATAAGGTTGTCAAAAAATGTTTACCCAAATCCAAAAGCAAAACTAAATACTCATTTGAGGAAGTACTGATGCAAAAGAAAGAAAAAAATTCTATCATTTAGGGTTGAAAATTACATTATCTAAAACAAGTATTATTATGGTGGTAACTAAATCTGTATAGAGCAGGGGTCTCTAACCTTTTCCCTCTGATAAGCCAAGTTTACAAAATAAAAATGCCAAAGAGCTACTCATTTTAGCAGCTGTAAAAAATTCTAAGAACATAAGAGTCATAGCCTTAAATTGGGAACAGTTAGAATGAATCATGAACCATTATCCAGTTATTATTAGTAGATTAGACATTTACAATGGTAATAAGCATTTAATCAATCACATTTTTGTTATTCAGCACTATGCATATAATTCACAAATCCCTCAGTGAGACATTTGGAAGGGGGTAGAGAGCTACAGGTTGGAGACCCCTGGTATAGAGCGGAGAGTCAATAATGACAATAATTAGACAGAATTTTAGCAATTCATTCACCCTCCAAGAACTTCACTAGCGCCTCATAAAACTTCAAACTCCAAAGCTATTCATAACTGGTCCTTGGATTTGAAATGTGCTTATAAAAATTGTATTATTAATATTAGTATATATCTGATTATAACGTACATTCTCTGTCTGCCTCCTGCATCCTCGTGTCCTCTTCCTGGAGATACGTCTGCAGGTTCTTCAGGATCTGGATCTTCAGGTTGATGGAGGAGTTTGAATCAGCAAGAATCCCGTTGTACAAAGTCTTCACCTCAGGCATGAACATCTGACTGGGGTGCATGATGACCAGAAACCCTACGGAAACACAACAGGTTTGGTTTATTACTTTTATACAGTCAAAAATGTAAAGGTGGGGGTCTATGTTATTTTAAAAAGGTTTTTATAAACTTGGCAGTCCTAGAATGAATTAAGGATTACCGTTTTTGCACAAAACTACAGTGGCACACACAATGCATCTGTAAACAATTTTTGTAAAAAATTATAATAATTGTATTGTTCATCTTGTTTTAAATTACAGAGACTAGTCTCCTTTGCTAATGGGAAACACTAACCTAGTATCAATATGAAAAAGTCTTGTTTAGGTAGAGGGTCTGAGAGCAGCCTTACCCAGGCCGATGATGGCCTTAGTCTTGACCTCCTCATCGTCGTGTTTGGTAAAATACAGCAACAGCTCCAGCACTTTGTCTTTGATGATCACCTAAAAATATATTAAATCCAGTCAGTGTATACACATGGTCAACTACTGAAACAATCATAATCATATTTTGATCAGTTAACAAGACTATAAAGACTCCAAAACACATGCTTAAAGCCACTTTATAACAAATGCAGTGTCATCATTCAATCTAAAATGTTTAAAAATCTATAATGCACTTAAATCATAAAATATTCTCAAGAAACCTTCAGTTAACCATATTTAAAGTTTAAAGTTTAATTTGCTTTAAAAAAGCATTTGAAATTGTAAAAAAAAAAAAAATCATTTAACTAGTTGACTACTCATAAAAATACTAATGGCTGACTGCTGTTGTCCTGTACCTTTGTGGGTCCCTTGAACTCCTCGAGGTCGAAGTCGAAGTGTCGCGCCAGAGCGCCCACAGTGAAGAGCGATCGCAGCAGGAACGGTTTATTCGCCACCAGAGTCGTGCTGTTGGGATCCTCCTGGTGCTGGCTCTTCAGTTTGTTCAGTGCACCTGGACACACACAAATAACATAATAATATGATCACATTTTTTCTCACTACACTGTGTACAAGTCCATAAGTCTGGACAATACACCACAAAACAAAACCCCAAAGTCAGAAATTTTGCCTGAAATTCAAAATGCACATTTTGCACTTAAAGCAACACAGTGTAACTTGGAGGTGGTTCCTTCACAAAGATAGAAAAGTTTTATATTATAGCCAAAGAACAACATTTCCATGGAAACAAGAAGGAAGAGGCCTTCTCCCAGTGCAAATAAAATAGTGCATTTTTCAGTACAATAAAAACACCCAAAATGAGAAACTTTTTTTTGGCTAATAGTTACGCGGTGGGGATTTAATAATTCAAATTTTTTTTTAAATATCTACCAACTGAAAAATTTTGATTGAAACAGGAACAAATATTGAAACCAGTCCCAATTTTAGACCCATGAACTAAATAACCAATTCCTCAAATCATGTTGAGTTTCATGTTTAAGTAGATTTGAAGTTTTCACAGTGTAAATTTTTGTATTACCATAGAATCTGTTGAAGCAGGCCCACACAAACTTGTAGTTGTGAGTGACTTTGTTGACGATAGCTCCCAAACAGCTCACACAGTGCTGCACCACCTGTGGAAAACAATAACATTGATATTATATTTAAAATGACAATGTTTAATCCTACACCTCTTCAGCGGGTCTATATATAACCTGGTGCAGATGTCTCTTACCGTCATGCCGTATTTTATGATCAGCTTCATCAGGTCTTCTTCTATCGTGGCCAGGAATGTCTCACTGGGGTGGTCCATCAGAGGCACCACGAGCTCCAAGATCTTTGCCACGTTACAGATCACCATGAAGTCATTGGCAGTCTGCAGCAGAAATTATAAGATCAGTTTTTATTAAAATATTAAAAATGGAAATGGCATGTTAGACTAGACACTTACACTAAAACTGTTAACTTTATATATAAGATTTTGCAAAAAAAATCTGGCCTAAGTTTGTTAGATTTTTTATTTTTATTTTGGTGAAGTTTGTAATTTATCTTCCTGGTTGGAAATGGACAGTAATTATGAGTTAAATGAAGTTAAACTGTAAATTGTCTCTGCATTTTGGATGGAATTTTCAGTTTTAGAACTTACAACCACGACTTTATTTTTGTAATTTTCTTTTCATCTTTTTACTTCTTCTGAAACTGTCCCACTAAACTAAGTAATAAATACTTAACATGCACTTTAAGTTTTACATTTTAACGAAGACAACTTGTGATTTTAAAACAGATAGACAGATGCAAACCGAATGGCGTTTTTTGTGAGTGTTGTTCTCACTTACATTACACTTGGTGGTCAGATACGGCTGCATTGTCATGGCATGCTTCACCATGAGCTGAGCCCGGATCTTGCTGAACAAATATAACGTGGTAATACAAGCGACCAGCCGCTGTGAATTGACTCCTTTATTATCTACAGACAAAACAAAGAACATAGGACTGGGTTAATCGAGACGTTTAACTCTTATTAAAGGTCACACTTGTGTACCATGAGTTTAATCTGCCTTTTTTATTTAGAAATACCAAAAATACACCAAAGCTTCAGCTAATTTACTCACTAACTCCATAAACAGTGCACAGACCTGAGAGAGACTCCTCATATTTGAGAATGTGCTCCACCAGATTGTCCACCAGCTGCACACACGCCTTTTTGGCTGGTTTATACGAGGCGTCCTCTTCAGACTTCAGGAGCTAAACAAAAACAAAAAACAAACAAAAACACAACAGTGAATTCAAACTTATATATTTGATTCTGTTTTATAATTATTATTAACCAACACTTACATTCTGTAGAAGCTGCTCAAACCAGTCGTAGCCAGTGTCTTTGCACGCGGCCACCTAAAACAAGAAAACACAAGTCTAAATCCAGCACTGACTTTCATGGAGCTCATTTTTGCATTGTGAATTTAATTATTGGGGATGGGACAATATCTGTACTTTGTGTTTACATTTGGATTGGACAAAAAATTGTTAAATGACAGCAAAAATATGAAATAAAATATTAAATTATGATACTTAAAGTGTGAACTGCATTTCATAATTTCTGTATTAAAAAACTGGTCAAAATCTAAATCTTGTCATGTTCTCTAAATGTACAATGTTGTTAAAAAACACAAGCTGCAATAAGTAAATGACAGAATGCAACACTTAAGTAATTAGTCTGTGGCTATAATGAGTCACAGAAGTTCATAATTCAACCTTCTACAGCTCAAATCTCATCGTAGTACAGAAAAATAATGAAATCTTTCCACTAGTACAAAGAAAAGGTACCCACGATAAATACAGCCCACAAAAAATAGGCCTGTCTGTGTATTGTATTTATATATACTGAATGACAAGTAGATATAGTAATTATCGTGACCAGCCTCCTCCTCCTGTGGAAATTGTGTCTCGTCTCGCCCCAGCTAATTACTGTTAAAACACATTTTATTTCAATGTGACACTAACCACATCTGTGATATTCAGGATCTTCCTCGTCATCGTTTCTTTGTCGTGTGCTGGAGTCGGAGTAAACCACAGCTTCTGGAATGTCTCGTTCACAAGTTTCTAATGAGAACAGTCGGAGTCACAGTTAGTACATACATAAAAATAAATATATATATAAACATACACTATCAGTTAAAAGTTTGGACACGCCATCTCATGCAATGTTTTTTTTTTCTTTATTTTTACTACTTTCTACATTTTAGATACATACAGAAGACAGCCAATAAATGGAGTAAGAGATATGGATATATGTAGCAAAGAAAAAAGTGAAATAGCTTTACTAATAAATACTAACTATTTTATATTCAAATCCTTAAAGCAGCCTAAAAGCAAACAAACAAAACATGTGTCCAAACTTTTGACTGTTAGTGTTTTAGCAGCAGACCTTGATGCCTTCCTCGTCGTTGACTCTCCTGATCATGCGCACACACATCTCTGTGATTTTACTGAATTTGGGCTGCTCCAGGCAAATGTCTCTGAGGATTTTGATCACTCTTTTCCTCACACTGATGCCCGTGTCCTGCAGAAAAACAGAAAGAAACAGCGGTTACCAGACAGCAGTGCTCTGATTTAGCCACTAGGGGGCAGCACAACACAACGAATGAATTGAACTTTACATGACCCCACAGAACAGCTCAATAACAGTGACACACTGACACAAAGACAGGCTCAGACCACAGGCTTTTTCTTTTGTCTTACTGCTTGGCTCTTTTCTTATTTAGAGTAACAGAGATTTGTTATGTTATTTAGGCAGACGTTTGTTTTAAAAGCAGCTGTGTTTTAATCTAATACAGTGTGACAGAAATGGTGTACTCAATACGGTATACATTACCACAGCGAAGACTAAAAAATGTTCCTTTTTTAGTAATAGAATGTTTTTTTCATATACCAAATAATTGTTTTTTTCTTCATACTAAAACTGTTCAGGAATGCTCTTGAGTCTGTCACTTTTCGAGCATAGATACTTGCCCAAATGAGTATTTAGTTTTGAGTTGAGTTAGTTTTAGTATCGATTAGTGTATTATTTTCAATACTTTTGATAACTCTAGACAGAATATACACACCACTGATGTGTGGTTCAGTAGAAAATGCTATATTTACTACATAACAGCTGTCCCATAGTTAAAGGTGCATTGAAACTTTTCTGGTGGAGGGTCCGCTGCCAACTTATGCCTATGGAGATGTTATTGCTTTGCCTGGAATGTTCCATGGTATGAAATTAAACATATCCATCTAGCATTTATTCATTACGAGTGTTTCTATTGCTCAAAAATAAAATAATTCCTTCTGTGAGTAGGAGCAACTCTCCACAAGAGCTTCTACTAGAAATGTTAGACAGTGCAAATTTCAATATACCATTCAAGTTTGAAGATAACATGATAATAAAAAGTATTTACCAGTATTCTCTCAATCAGCATATCGTAGTACTGCTCTGTGAGCTGAGGTCTGCTCAGCACAAACCTGCCCAGCAGCTCCACGGCCGCCTCCCTCACACTGGTTGAGTTGTCCATGAGACGCCCGTGAACCCCACGCTGCATGTCCAACTGGAACAGGAAACACAGATCAGTAACATGTCGACTGTACAACTACAACACCAGTCAGAAGTTTGGACACATCCTCTCATCCTCTGTCTTCTTTATTTTTACTACTTTCTACATTTTACATAGACATCAAATATATGAAGTAGAGGTGGGGCTTGATTAAAAAAAAAAATCTAATTACAGGCTTTGTAATTAATTAATCTGAATTAATTGCATATCAGTATTTGCCTTACTCATTTACCAATTTACTAATTTTCTTCCAGAAGTCAGTCGTTTGTTCAAGTTTGATCTGACACCTCTTGTTTATATTTGGACCAAAACTGCTCTCACCAACAGCTCCAGTAGTTTCTGTGCTCGCGGTCACATTTTCATGTAAATGGTATCATAGGGCTGAGGTGTGATATGCAAACTCTTATCTGCACAGTTTGCAATAAAGCAAAGAAAACGCCTTTGTCAATATTTCCATCGGGTAGTTTTTTATATATATATATATATATATATATATATCTATATATATATATATATATATATATATATTTTTTTTTTTTTAAATAGTTATTTAACTTTTTTCTTTGCTACATAATTGCATATCCCTGGCTTCATATATTTGATCTATATGTATCTGAAATGTAGAAAAAAAAAAAACATTGAGTGAGATGGTCCAAACTTTTGACTGGTAGTGCACGTGTAAGTCTAAAGTGTCTAAGAGTAAAGACTCACCCGTGCCAGAATACTGGGGTCCACCGCCACTACTTCAGACAGACATTTCATGGCTTTTGTCCTGACAGCAATGGCGCTTTCTCCAAGTACTCTCAAAATCTAACAAAGTGGCAACAAAACATTTAACCATTTTTACAATAATGATATGTGTTTATGTTTCATTTATGAATAACTGATCTGAACAAACCTGTGTTAAATAAATATCAAAGCTCTGGGCAAACGGCCTCATGGAGGCCAAATATCGCACAATCAGACAGGAGTCGTCGTAGTCCACAGTGTCAGAGTTCATTCTAAAGAAACAAACAGATTATTATTATATTATATTATTATACATTATGTGATGGTGCTTTATGGTCTCATGAGTGTATTAAAGGCCCAATATTACACAGACTGTTTCTAGTGAGCTTTTAGTCAAGCTGTTACATCAGAAACAGACCTGGAGTTGTGTTTTGTTTCATTCACACATGTTTGAGTAACTCTTATTCATTATTAGTCTGCATCTCCAAACCTCAAAATGCTCTGTTTCAGGACTGAAATTATCCAAATGATTCAAATGAAGGTGTATGGAGTTTAAAAACACAGTGGAGCACTTCCTGTATTACCACATCACATCAAAAGTTGGAAGAGTGTTTTCTGTTTGAGAGAAAAACACAGGCTAAATATGCAGGGTGTGTGACTGAAACAAAACAAATCGAGACATGTTCTTGATGAGGAAACAACACGGCACAGTAGTGTAATATGAGCTCTTTAAACATGACATGCTGGTGCTTTATGGTCTTATCAGTTCTAGTCTCACTTGAGTGTGGTGAAGTGGGCTGGTGTGGTCTTGATGATGTTGCGTAGGAACTTCTTGCGTTTCTCGGCGCGCTGCATGATCTCGCCCGTGGTCTCGATCTCCTTGGCGTGTTGAGGTCCGTCAGAAGAATCATCGTCTTTGGAGTTCTGGCTCCTCATCGACTTTTCAGCTTCTGTCGTAGCGTCTCTAAACCACTGAGCGATGTAGAACTTCCGCGCAAACTAGAAGAAAAAAAAAAAAAAAGAATCTGTAGGAGACAACAATGGTATCCCTAATTTAACTTTATTCTATTTACTCTTTATTTTAACACAATCTGACCAGAAAGAACTGACTTGGTTGGAACTACAGCTACAGGTGAGATGTGTACGATTACTGTCATAAGTTTTTCAGTGAGTCTCTCTCAACTTTTTGTTGAAAATCAAACTTCTAAACAGGACCATGAACGCTTGTACTGATCACATGCTCAGGAAAATGTGCTGTTTAAATAAATTTTGTATTTCTTCTAGAGACTTTAGACTATATTAAACCCCCGAGCATGACGTCGCTGCAAAGTAGAAGTCTGCGCGGTCCAGCAGTCACGCTCCCACCCGCACCAGCAAAGAATTGTAATTTTCATTCCCACTCCCGCCCTCATCTGTGATATTTTGTGCCGCCCATAAATCCCGCAAGATGGGGACGTTCGCTTTCTTAAGCTCTATCAAACACGGAGAAGCGGAAAGGAATTGCCTAAAATGTGCGTGAGATTAGACGACATCCGCAAGTTTAGGCTGCTTAAAATGTTTTGATTAATGTCAAATAAAATATCCAGCACAAATTATGTATGATTGGTATATATTTATCATTTGTATGTTTTATTTTACACTCATTTAGTTTGCGGGACTGCAGTTTATCATCCCTCCCGCCCGCTCCCGCATTGTGCAGTCCCGCTCCCGCCCGCAATGAGCTTTCAAAATGTGTCGCACCGCACTGTTTTGTTTTCTACTGCAACGTATTCATTTGTCATAGAAGACTACGTGTAATAACTCAAACCCACCACCAGGGAAGCGTCCGTTTCTGCATTTTCCTCCAGATAATCCAAAAGAGCCTTCTGCAGCTGCTGCGTCTCATCGTCTCCCGGAGTCTTTACAATCAGAAACAACATGTACAGTTTTTTAAAATATAGAAATATTTTTTATTGTAAACCATTTGAAAAAGCGGCCTCGTCGTACCTCCTCCAGGATGCGGTCGATTGATTTTTGGTCCATTTTGCTGGTGACTGCATCCTTTCTTAGACGAGCAGCGACAGTGCCGAGGTAGTCCAGCGACGCCACCCTCAGAGCCATCTCAGTCTGCTTATTACTGAACTGGTGAACCTAGAGACAGAGAATAAACATGATCATAAACGAATTAACTTTTATAGTGACCTTAGAGCTATAGAATTTAGTACATTCCCCCAGACTAACGTTTTTTTCTTCAGAGACCCGTTTTAGACATATAAAATGTAAACAGAACTATGGAAATGCAGTATAATCTATGTAATAATAGTAATAATGCATCAGTTTTATGACACTCAAAGATGCTTTACTTTATCTTTTTGTCATGGCGTCTGTCAGATATAATGTATTTCATGTTAAATATCTCAGATTAAAAGTCTGTGTTGTTTATGCTCTGGAAATAATACTGAAAGCATTTTTTTTTACTTTCAAGATAAAATAAAATTGAATGCAATACAGTACCATGTTTTTGTCAAAGTGCCCAGCCATACTATAAACATCAACACAAGCAGAAGGGACTAACCAGTAATCTCCCGAGCAGACTGAGGAGGAGCTCTGCAGCGGGCCACTCAGGTTTATTCACTGTGGACAGAAGATCCTGCACAAAGTTTTCAAACAACGGCCTGTAATCTTCTTCTCCTTGTTTGCTGCCACATCTGAAACAACACCACAAAAGTATAAGGAAAAAAATACTCAAATGAATAACTTAAGAATTAATTAAACAATATGTGGTGACTTTACTTTTTGAGGAAGACGGAAAGGAAGTTTTGTGCAGTCCTCATGGCCGTTTCATACGAGTTTGTAATCAGAACGTCTTGATCCACCTAAAAATGAGAATAATGTACAATGTTAAAGACACATTTTCATGCATTCTTGTGGCTATAATTCCCTTTTTAAACATGATTTTGGTCAATTAGGGCCATTTGATAAAGATAATGTTGTTTCCTCATCACAAACAGACCTGGAGTTGTGTTTTGTTTCATTCACACATGATAAACAGAAAAATCCTGCATATTTAGGCTTCAGGATTTCTTCTCTCAAACAGAAAACACTTGGTTCCAACTTTGTGATGTCATGTGGTAATACAGGAAGTGCTCCACTGTTTTTTTCAACTCCATACACCTTCACTAGAATCATTTGGATTATTTCAGCTCTGGAATTTCCAATCACTAATAAACAAAAGGTAAAAAGGAGCTGTTAACTAGAAAACTATCTCTTCATGACATCACAAGGTGGAACAGAGCATTTTGAGCTTTGGAGATGTAGACAGAGCAATAATAAACTAACTTAAACATGTGTGAATGAAACAAACGAGGTAACAACATTCTAACATGGATTAAAACTCACAAGAGTCAACTTTGCATAATACAGGACTTTAAAAACTGCACAGGAAAGGTCCGGATTTTTACCTGTGACGCAACAATCCAGGTAATGATAGCACATGTGATAGCACACATATGACCCTTACCTTGGCGTCGATCTCGTCAAACGTCTCTTTGTCGTTGGGGAGGTGGACCACACACTGAATGAGCTGCAGAACCAGAGCCGTCACCATCTGAATGTACAGCGGCTCCCCGTCCTGGTCTGAGCTGTTCAGTCTATAGACACAAAGCAGATACGAAACGATGAATAAGAATCTATGAGCGTCACGATAATTAAATTTGAAGTATGACATATTACTCCAGAGAAATATTGCAATAAACTACTTAATGCCTGTGACACAATAACAGTAAAGCAGGATAATCCACTTAAACCTTTTTTTTTTAAATACCGTATTTTCCGGGCTATTAGGCGCTCTGGATTATAAGGCGCACTGTCTTTAAATCGTCTATTTTCGAACTTTATTCACAAATAAACCGCACCGGACTTTAAAGGAAACACAACAGTTGGATGGGTCAGTGGGACTTTGTTTGTGGCGACTCTGGGCTTTGTTCAGTTGTGGTGTGTAGGGTGGGTGCTGTCTGGGACCAGCTGGATTGTTGGTGTGTTCACAGTGACTCAGTTGTTCAGTTGCGGCTCAGAGTTCGTTCTTTCGTTCCGTTCCTCGTCGGCGTGGAGTGATGAGTGTGTCTGTGGGTGTTTTTCGCTGTGCGGTCGCTGTCTGCTCCGTGTGTGTTTGCGTGCGCTGTTGGTGGTGCGGCTTTGTAGTTTACTGAAGTCGTGCTGGGACACCCGAGTGGATTCGTGTAAAGGGCGCTCTGGATTGTGGGGCGCGCAGTCATTTTTTGATGAGGTTGGAAGCTTAAGAGCGCGTCTAATGGCCCGGAAAATACGGTAGACAATGTCATTAAAAGGAGTGAGCTTCAACAAATAATTAATAGGGTCTGTCAAGTGCTTTTTTCCATGGAGATGTTTTTGCTTTGTCTGGAATGTTTCACAGTATGGCATTAAACCTTTCTACCTTCACGGAGATCAAACCAGACCAAGTTACAGGTCAGATCTGTGGAGAGGCGACCCCGCTCACAGTCAGAATGTCTGTTTTCTAGGTATTTTTTGAGCTATAAAACCACCTGCAATTGAATAAATGTAAGGTAGAGCTGTTTAATGTCATACTGTGGAACATTCCAGGCAGAGCAACGGCATATCCATAGAAACAATCAGGTGACAAAGCCCCAACCAAAAAGTTATATAAAGTACACGTTTAAAATGGCAAAAATCTTCCCACTTTTGCAAAGAAAAAGAATGACAGATAAGTCATAGCTCCAAAATGTGTTGTTCAAGCTTTCAAATACTGGACACTAAATCGTTATTATCGTGACGGGCCTAAAAACAAACTTTGATTCTTATACTCGACAAAAGAAAACACATAGCAACAAACATAAAATAAGAAATAAACCATACCTGAAGTTCCTGAGCGATCGTTTGCTGGTGGGAAGCCGAGCCAAAGACGTGAAAATCTCCTCCAAAATCAGCTGCCGATGCTTCTCATATCGTGAAAACACCTGTTGAAGAAAAAGTTTAGTTTCAACACAGTTATAAAAATAAATACAGTTCAGTTTTAATTACAGGACACGTGTAACTTACAGCTGTCACTAGTTTAATGGCACATAGCTGCAGCTCACTGACGTTCTCCACAAAGAAGGGCGTGATTCCCATTGAAGAAACCTGGAAAGATAACACAGGTAAAATGAGGTCATCTGTTGTGGAAGCGTTTTGTAATCCATCAAGTCAAACACGGTCCGTTTAAAAGGGTTGTACCCATTTTTTTCATTTAAACTGCAAATTTAATAGATACACACATTCTAAGCTCAATAATTCATTTGTACTTTTAATGTGATTTGATACATAAGCTGTGGCGTGCGTGTTTTTACTGGGGACAAGATCTCGAGTCACAAGATCATGGAAATTGCCATAATATTGTGCAAACATGAGAAAAATTATCTTCTTTTTCCCTTTGTGTGTTTACATTTGGCTTTGGATCAAAAAGGGGAAAAAAAGGCTGGTCAGTTACATATTTTGAAAACTTCTAGCGCCAAAACTCAGTGCCATATTGACAGCAAAAAATATTAAATTAAGTCAATTATTATTATGTATGATGCATTATTAAGTCTAGGGATATGTCACATGCCAGTACTCAAACTCATCAATCTGCTCCAATACCAAGAACCGATACCACTGTAACTTGTCGATGATCTGAACAGTGAACTCTGAGCTGTGAGGATTATTATACATGAAAATCAAATATATCAGCTGAATAGCATGGGCTCAGAACCTTTAAACTATATTGGATTTATACCAAACTACAGTAATTTTAGTTGATTTACTAAAAAAAATATACAAAAAAAAAAAAAAAAAAAAATCATATGAAGTTAATTTGATTAGATTTTATGTTTTACTGCAAGTTTTCTGAAAATCTACCTTGAAAAAGCTAATATTTAATAGTTAGTGTGTGGTTTTAAGGATCTTAGCGTGAATAAATGTATTAAACATGCACATATTTCAATTATTATTATTATGGCCCTTGATGAAAAAAGTTTGGACACTTTTGGATTAGATTAACCACTGTAATAGAGCCCCTGGAAAAAAAAAAAAAAACTAATATCAGTACTCAGTATCAAAAGTACTTAAAATGAAGTATTCATTTTGGTAGCACTGCTTCCTTAATTAAGTCCAAATCTCATTCCTTCTTGTTCTCATGGAAACTGTCTTGGTCCACTCCTACTTTTTGCCAACAGAATGAGAATGAAATTTCTTATTACTGTTAAAATTACTGAACTTTTTTATGAGAATTTTGTTGTATTAAATTGAGTCTAAATTTCACCGCTGTGTTAATGCTGAGTGTTATGAGAATGTGGTGACTGGAATGTCTTTGTCTCAAGTGTTGTGCAACATGAAACAAAGGCTAATCTAATTTTGTAATTTGGGGAAGAATTTGCCATTACTACATTATGTATAATTTCACTACAATGCTGTTTACCTGCAGGATTGTGGTGTCTGTGAGCAGTTGTATTTCCAGGAGCTCTGAGATGTTGCTCACGATGTCGCAGACTTTGTTGTACAGCATGATGATGACGCGCTGTTTGTGAGTCGAGCATTTCGCGCGTTTGGCTTTGGAGCTTAACATGCCACCTGAGAGAAGGAGAAAGGAAATTAATTAAAAAGAAATGCGTTAGTAATGATATAATTTCTTTAAACCATTTTGTAAAATAGAGCCACATTTCAAATTGACTGCTAAAATTAAATTGGACAGATGATCAGAATTCTACTGTAGGCTTTGAAATGTTTTGACCAGGTTTTCGGTTATTATTTCTGTAATTACAAACTCTTCGCACATGAAACAAAAAGCTGTGATAAAGAATAATATATGTAAGTATGTAAGTAAGTAAGTGTACGTCAGTAAGCACAGATTAACTAGATTTTTTATTTTATTTTTTATTTTTTTTACTATCATTTCCCTTTTCTTCTTGGGCTCATGTAAATTCTTTCTAATCCCAATGAAATAATTTGCTAAATAAAAATATTGGTAGATTAAAGGCTGCCACACACTACAGGATTTTTCGGTCTTAAGCGATTTTTAAAAGCGTGACAAAAAGCACACACCACAGATGCGAGGAGAATCTTATGAGATTTTAAATCTGTGAGAGCAAAGACTGCAGCGGGATATGTCTGCGTAGAACAGGCTAAAGTTGTGAGCGCCATCGTGTCAGCTGTTTCCTAGAGTAAAACCACTCGCTTTGAGACTCTTCAGTGTTCAGAAGATCAAATCACTGCACTGTGTTATTGTTATTTGTGAAATGTGGTGAAAAACTTCAGATACACATTTTTTAAAGCTAATAACTAATCTGCAGTTTCACCTCGATCCGAGCGCTGTGTGGATGTAAACAGACACACGTGAGGAACTACTCCTGCCTTTTTACTTTTAAAGAACGCTTCAAACTGGATTAATATCAGTGTTTTGTGGACTGGGTGCCATTATTTGCAGATGAGAAATTCTATGGATAATGTGGATGACATATTGCAGTTTAAATTTACATCTTTATGAGAGGTGAGAAATAATAATTTTCGCTATTTCCTGAGGTTGTATTTTGCGTCTCTGTGTCTGTCACTCCATCTGTCCCCGACGCTCTGTTTTACTGTCTGTTGCTGAAGAGTTGCTGATGTTTGGTGGCTACAATCTGACAGAGCAACTCAGAATCACAGACATGACACACATGAGGAGCACAGCGGCTTCAAAATCGCATACGAAGACACAAAGTCGTGTCACGCCTCCTCGAACTCAAGGAGAAGCAAATCGCAGCCTAAATTGGGCAAATCCTCCTGTAGTGTGTGGTGGCCTTAAGCGACTAAAGGCTTACACCCCTAATACCAAATCTATAATACTGCAAATAATTCTGCTCTTATACTTGTTCTGATACAGCTCAAGATCATTCTAAAGCTATTCAGGAAAGATTCGTTTCTGACGTGTAAATAAGACTCTTATTATCGACACCTGTTCAAATGAGTATCTAGTTTCAAGATTTGTTTTAGTATCAGTTTGATTTTCGATACTTATGACAACCTTACTGTAAACACAAACACTTTCACCATCCGTACCTCCGTGTGGGTCGACTCTGTACACAGGGTCGTACTGTGGGTAGAGCGTGTTCTGCAGGTGAAACTTTGTATACTGAAGGACCCTTTCGATCACGTCCTCGATGTACACGGCTTTGGGCATGTGAGAGGAGGTCATCACGTTCAGCGCAGTCAAACAGGCGTCTGCGGACTTGGTGACCCGCTCCATGATCAGATCTCTCCACAGCTTCTCTTCGTCCTCTGCGTCCTGGTCCTGAGAAAACAAATTATACAAGATTAAAATGCAAGTTATACACTGGTGGAAAGATGGAAAATGGTGGAAAAACATATATGAAAAAAAAAAAAAAAAAAAAATGTTACTGTTAAAATTTACTCAGTTGGATGTACAAGTACTGCTGCCAAAATTTTACTTAAAGTGGAACTGTTATATTTGTATTACTGTATAATTTATTTTAAGTTGTACATAAACATTTATATAATTATGCCTTATTTGACACTATAATTTTTTATTATCACTTATATTTTTGTAACTTACTATAATATATTGTGATGTGTGAGCTGCTGTATCAAATATTTCTCTTGTGGATCAATAAAGTTTGTCTAAGAACTAAATACTAAAACTTTTTTGCTACTGAACTGTGTACATGGTGTTGTAATAGTATTGTCTACTGTTGTTGTACTTTTGGGCAATTTTAGAGCTAACTACATTTGCAGCTTTCTGGTTAAACAATTATAAGAATGGGTGTGCCCTTGCTCCAGAGGCCACTACAATTTCAAGTACTACACAACATCACTCATGACTGCCAGACAGGTGTTTCTGATTGTAAACACCTGAAGGGGAGGAGCTTAGATACCTGTTTGACCAAGCCCACTGTTCCTCATATCCTCCTGCTTTAAATAAGACATACTGTGTTTTTGTCTGTTGTATAGTTATGATCTATGAATTTATGTTATATTTCGGCTATTTTAATTGCAATATTGATCTAAACCAGGGGTCTCCATCCTGTAGCTCTGGAGCTACCAGTAGCTCTCCAAGGGATTTCTGAATTACATGTATTGTGCTGAATAACTAAAATTGTATTAGTTGTCACTGTGAATTTATAATTTTGATGCCTAACTAAATGAAGGGATTATGGTTTGCGGTTCACAGGCGTCTAACTGTGCTCCATCTAAGGCTCGCTGTGGGGCTTAAATGTTCTAAATTTCCTGCAAACACTAAAATGAGTAGCTCTCTGGCATTTTTGTTTGGTAAATGTAACTCACTGAAGGAAAAAGGTTGGAGACCCCTGATCTACAACAACATTTAAGTCAGTATTAAAAGGTCTATAATAATACAATGAACGACAAAAGTGGACTCACATGGCTCATGAGCGTGGCCAGCTTAGACCCATCCTGGATGTTCTTTTCCAGTATGTTCAGCAGCTTCACCAGTTTGTCTGAAGGGATCTGAAATAATAAAACAAAACACTTACATGCTCATTATCTGGTAAAAACAAAATGAACAAATAGACCTGCTCTTAACCAACATCAGGTGAAAACAAACAAATAAATAAAAGTACTCACCCTCCCTGTGATGCCCATGGCCTTGATCTTGGCCGATTCACTGCTCAGTTCGTTGAGCTGATGTTTTCCAAGCAGCAGTTCCTGAGGGATTTCATCATCGTCTGCGGCTGCAAAATAAAAATAATTTTAAAATAAAATGTGTTTTCTATGGGCATAAAGAGGAGGTTTAAGCTGCTGAAATTAGGGCAATATAAAGTTTTATTTCAACACTTAAATGCGACGAGATAACTACAAAATGTGACTACACAGATCTCGTAAAAGGATGCGGTAACAAAGAGCCATTAGTGAGATTGTACTAAATTTAAATTACAGAATATGGGGGGAAAAAAAATTAATAAAAAATATCGGCAGAGATTTGGCCATCAGTATCAGCATCAGTCGATCTCTAATTTTTATATCCCAAATAAATACATTTTGTTATTATTTTTACAACTTCAATGTAACTTGGATTTTAAAATATTAATATCGTATCAGCAAATACAAGTTCTAGGCCACATACAGCAAAATAAATAACAGTATCTGCTTCAAAACAAAAAAATCTGATGAACCTTAACAAAAAATCCAGGCTCTTACCCATAGCAGTGAAGTCGACGTCCTCCAGGTTCTCCAGGATGTTGTCGATGCTGTTCAAAAACCTCTTAAACGTCGAGGAGTCCATCAGCTCTTCCTGAGTGAGCTTCGGTTCATACGCTTTCCTCTTCTTTTGCTTTTCTTTCAGCTTCATTTTCCTGGCGACTGAACACACAAGTTTGAGTTACCACTTGTTGTTGTAGGCTATGGGTTGGGCTTAAAGATACAGAATTTAATTTTATGGCGGTGACACTGTAGACTGTATAAAGAAGTGGACTAAGGGAATGTGACGTCACCCATAGTGTTCAGCTCCAGTCAAATGAAGCTCACCAGGATAGCGGTTACAGGAAGAAATTTGGAGCCGAATTCCAAGTATCATAGCAACCAAAGAGCCAATCAGGAGCGAGACCGTTGAAGGCAATATCGCTTCCCGTCTGTAACGCTGTTTTAGCAGGGAGCCAGCGCTTAATAATCTAACACTAGCTGGAGAAACCTTGGCGAAAGAATGCGTCCGATTTGTCTGTTATTAATTTTCATATCTTGATTTCAAAATAGCAAATACCAAACTAAAAACATCTGGATCGTGCGGGATAATAAGAACATTTTAAGACCAAAATGACGAGAGGGCTTACAGCTTTTCAAAAGAAAGTGAATTGAAACCCATGCTCACTTCTTATTTGAAACGCAGCGGTTAACAGGTTGGCCATGTCCAATTATATACATATACAGTTTATAGGTGACGTGTATATATTTTAGTTCATATCTAGGCTAAAAAGTTACTTACTGTGACTTTAATCAAATTATAATCAAGACTGAGACTGACTCTTTTGTAATCATCAATAATCAGCTTTGTTTTTATAATTGAAAAGGCTACAGCCAATCACCTGTCAATAAAAGCACGCGGTTTGGAGTAGATTTGGGAGGAAGAAATTTGATTTCTGAGTTAAATGGAAATGTTTAAAAAGTTTGTATTAAATTATGTTAAGGAAATTATCATTGAAAGACATTTTACATGTTTTTAAAAGCGCACTATGTAACATTTCTGGTGGTGGGTTGTTCAAATGTTTTTCTCCATGGAGATGTCATCGCTCTGCCTGAAATGTTCCACACTATGACATCAAACACTTCTGCCTTACATTTATTAAAATAACAGGTATTTTTATAGCTCAAAATTAGCTAGAAAAACATAAACTGTGTAAGGTGGTCTGGTTTGGTCTGCATGAAGATAAAGGTTTAATACCATACTGTGAAACATTCCAGAAAAAGCAATAACCAGAAAAGTTACACAATGCACCTTAAAAGTAGACAAGCTAAAAACATTATGAGAAAAGAAAATTGTGTTTAACTGCTGTGTATTCTAACCTTCACTCATGCTGGGAGGGGGAGGAGGAGAGTCTTCGTCAGACGAGTCTCTGTAGCGGCTGCCGGAGCCTCTGCGACTGTCGCGTTGTCCACTTTTCCGATGCTCTCCGGAATGACGCCGCTCCCTCTCCTCAAAATCCCACGTCCGGTCCTTGTCTCTCCGCTGCCGTTTTCTAGCAGCTGTGTGTGTAAAATGAGAGACGATTTGTGAATTTAAATTGGAGGGTATTATACTTCTACGGGGTATTAACTGCTAACACATAACATTTCGATCATCGTTCCCTTTTATCTTTTTGAAAATGTTATTCGGTGAAAACAAAGTATGAACATGTTTAAGGTTCACGCTCGTTTTTGAGTGCCCTACCCCCTTGTGCTCCTCACGCCAACACACTGCATTTCACAAATGAAACTACTGCACATTGCATCAGGTTTGTGGATTTGTAGTGCATTGTTTTGTATCAGGCTTTTGTATATTTATAGAGAATTGTTTTTTTGTTTTATTTTGTTTTGTTTTTTTAACCAGATAGACTAGGCTTTTGCTTTCTTTACTTTCGTAGCCTAGGTTTCATTTAGGAACTGTTTTATTATGCATTTTGTTCTTTTCTTTGGCACAACCGGCACATGCCTCCTCCCACCAACCTTTTTTTTTTTTTTTTTTGTATACTTTGGTGAATGTTTGGCCTCACAAAATAAACTTGCCAAACAAAATTTTGACTCAGTTCCAATGATTGTTTTATGACAGTTGTGTCCCTTTTTGGATAGGGGATGTAACAGGGAGCATGGGTGATGTAGGCTTGTGGGTAGAGAATTTAACAAATCTTACAGCTAACCATAAACAGGGTTTGAATAGAGCCCAGGAGAGATCACTAAATTACTGAAACACGCATAGATGACTTATATGAGGCATGTTTTCAATGAGGAAACACTGTACATGGTAGAAAGCTCCACAAAGTCAATATATAGCACCCCCTCTTTAAAGAGAAAGATGAGGCTTACATTCTCCGTCCCTCTCCTCGTCCGAGCTGACTTCTGCGTATTTTGGCTTCTCATTCACTGTGCTCCGTTTCCTCGTGTTCATCTTCACTCTTTCATACATAGGCATCGTGGACTCGATTTCTGCCAGTAATTCAGGAGGTAGCTCTTTGAGTACGGCTGGGTCCATGCCACCTGGAAATTCATAACACGTTAAAACACACAATAATTAAGAAAATATCATTCAAAAGAGTTCTTAAATATTCACATATGTGTGCTGAGAATGCTGGTTTCAGTGGTTCCTACATGAAGTTGGTCAAACAAAGCAAAATTTATGTGCACTGCGGACAGAATTTAGATGAAGAAAACAGTGCTACCAGTCCAGTTATCAGTCCAACATTGATACTTTGCAGCTGATGTCTACAACATTGAGGCTAACTGAAGGTAATGCTCAATCTGAAGCTCTGAAACTCAAATTAGACTTGAACACTGACCAGAAAGAGCAGTATTAATAGGCATACATATATAAAACTGTGGTGTCACTGCAAAGCATCAATCAGACCGTAGGAACTCACAAAACAACACTTGGGCCTGGTCAAGCAGAAGTAAACAGCAAGGCCAAAAATTCAAGTTAATGCATCTGAGATAAAAATGTATTCAACAGATACATATGTACTCTAGTTTATGAAACTGTTTACCTTTTTTTTGTACCATTTTTGGTTCTAAAGTTACATGCGTTCTAAACAGACCATGTATGAAACATGGAACAAAAATTATTTCCCAAATTTCAAAGACCTGAAAATTATGTAAATAAATGGATGTATTTCATCATATCTTGTGTTATTCCATCTTTGAACTGTTGATGAAGGTACATGATTTAAAAAATAAAAATTAAAATTAAAATGATAAAAATGTTCTTGGAAGGACTGACATATTTTATAGAAATAGTTTCCTTTCATTTTGAAGTAATATTAAAGTTTTTGGAAGAAAAAAGCGACAAATTATGCAAAATCATGCACCTTCTACTTGCTTGCACAATTTTCCCTCCGTTACTTTTCCCTCCATTACCATGACCTTTCTTAATAAAAAATGTCATTACTCAAAAAGGTTTTTCAACCTAATCTTGTACCATATGGTAGAAAACTACATGAAGCAAATATTCAAACCAGTTTGTTAAGGATATGTAAGTGAGAACCAAGAGTTATCACTGTTTGTATTTATTGCCCAAAAAGTGCTGCATATTTCATTTCCTCCGTTACCGACATGAGTTTTTAAATTTTTTGTCAACAACTTGAAAGAATATCACAGGTTTAACTTTACCCTGTTGGAGTGTTAACTCTTTCCTACATTCTGATACTTTACTTATTTCAATAGTCCCTCTAGTTTCTGAATAAGAGCTTTTGAATGTAAAAAATCTGCCCATTTCCCTTGCACTTGCATCACACTTGGGAGTTCATGCAAAAACAACTATTTATGCAGAAAAAGATACAAGGAAACAAAGCATAAATATAAATAAACAGTTTTAACTTGTGAATCAAAAGTTTAATTTGCCGTTTACTTATATAGATTAGGGATGTGTAAAAATATTGAAATATCGATATTAGGGATGGGCATTCGATGAAATTTTCTTAATCGATCGTCGTAAGAATTAACGATCGATTATCGATTAATCATTAACGTTTTTATATTAAAATGATCATAATTATTATTACTATCTGCACTAATCTGCATAAATAAATTCAACTTTACGACATATAAACTGCAACCACTCTAGAGCCACATCAGCCCGTTTCACATTATAATGTGTTTAATTCAGTTTTGCGCAACTCTCACAGAAACAAAACTTAAAACCGCATCGTAATTTGCATAAAGTAAGCGAAGATAAAACTACAGCTCTTGTGCGCTGATGCGGTCAATTTCTAGCGGATTAAAAGACATGACTCAGTGGAATACAGGTTAGTGTGACCATATTTGCGTTTGTAAAAACCAGGACACCGTACGGGGGGAGGGAGGTGGGGACTCGTCATCAACATTGAGCGACTCTCACCTGGTAAAGCTTTTTCCCACTGGACACCGAAACATATGTGCTGCTTTGTACACTGTGCACATAGACTCCCACTTGTCCCGAACGCAACGGAAAGCGTGGAATTTCTTGTACAAATCATCGTTAAATACACATTTGTGCTTCGTTACGTTGCATATTGACCGACTGTTTGTGTCTCGCTCCTTCTGATGCAGAGAGACACATGTACAGACCTGTTTGGTCACACTACACACAGCAACCTACATTCGGTTTGTCGATTAAAATGAACGTAATCGATGAAATTCTTAATGATCAATTATCGATTAATCATGCCCATCCCTAATCGATATATCGTATCGTTTAATGTGATGATACAGTATTGTTATCATGTGCTGCTGCATTGATATATTGCCAAGAGTATTTTTTGGTGTGTTTTACTGAATTATTTTGTTACAATGCTACAGTTTCGCTGCTTGTTTCAGAGGAAGGAACTGACATATTCACTGTTGATGATTCAAAGGTTTGTGTTTCGTATGAACTTTGCACATGAAGTGGTTTAACAAAGACTTTTAATATCACAGCTATGATTTTGCCTTTTTTTTTTTTTTTTCAATTTGAAATATATCGTATCGATCGAAAGCTCACTGTATCAAGATGTGTGTTGTATCATGGCCTATGTATCAAGTTATGTACCGCATCGGCAACTTCTTAATGATACCCAGCCCTAATAAAGAAAAATAAAATATCTTCAGCTTGTGCACTCACTCTCAAACTTCTCCTTTCTGCTGTTGTCCAGTCTAAGCAAAATAATTAGTCAACTAAGACACCATCGGTCAATTAAACGCCTACAGTCCAACAGCCCTAGTGTTTTGTGTGTTCTCACTTTTGGAGGACTTCCCGGAGGAGAGCCGGTTCTTCCCAGACTTGCTGTGGCGGATGATCCTCTGAATCTGCGCCACCGAGAGCTTCTTCAGCACCACCACGGGTTTGGGCCTCTTCTCAAAGTCCTGGACCAAACCCAGTCTCTCCAGCTTCACCTTGGGCTGGCCCCACATGTGCCCCTCAGAGCCACTGCCGTCTTTGTCCTGTTTGATCTGAGGAGAAAGAGACATGCCAGTGTGACTAAAGACTCGTTATAAACCCCCACGTGTATAATGAAGAGTTTGTATCAGATATGAAAATGTGAAAAATGTAAATGGATTACAGCAATCCAAACATTGATTAAACATTTTGATGTTAGTTTCCACCACCATTGTTTTAAACCACGGACTTAACGATATACTCCACACTGTCCCATATTATACTGTTGATTCAGCACAAATACTTTTACCTACTCAGGGCCAGAAACAGTGGAGCATTTCATTAAGACCATAATAATTCTTAACATTAAAGAGGGGGTATTATATTTCTATGGGGTATTAATGCTCACACATAACATAATTAGATCCATATGTTGCGTTTTATTGTTTTTGAAAATGCTATATTCGCCGAAAACAATGTATTAGTAGGCTTAATAATTAAAATTTCGCTTCTGACGTTCCGAGTCACCCCTTCCTATGCTCTCCAGACTAATTCGCTTCCCTTTTAGAGCGTTATCACGACAACAACACAATCAGCGTGCACCCAATGAAATTATTGTTTGTTTTCGTTTTGTATCCTGCTTTTGTATATTTAAGGAGAATTATCTTGTAGGAGAATGGGTGACGTCGGCTTGGGGACTGAGCATTTCACAGAATCTTACAGCTAAACATGAGGAGGGTTTAAATAGGGCGAGATAGAGATCGCAAAATTACTGAAATATGCATGGTTCTAAATCCTCAATGTTTTGATGAAGGAACAATGTTAGAACATGGTAAAAACTATTGCATAATATCCCCTCTTTAATAATCATCTATCTAAAATTGTCCAAAACAAGTGAAGCACCACTATCATTTCGACCAACAGTTAGTAATTAGTGTCAAACTTTCAAATTTCCCACAAAGGCACTCAATGGGCAAAACAAAAACAAATCAGGAGTGAGCAGTGAGGTTGCAGGCAGTGAGCTGAATGATTGGAACGTGGTGGTTTGGCTCGGGCCCAGATCACCTTCGGGATCTGGAAGTTCTTCAGCGCTCCACTGTGCCCTCCCAGCAGGTGCGCGGGGAAAGAGTCAGGAAGCTTAGGGCCTGAAGAGGATGGAGCGGCTTTGAGGTCCTGTTTAGTGCCGCCGCGGTGCCTCCGGTCTCGCTCCGCCTCTCTGTCCCGCTGTGACGGTTTGGGACCCTCAGACCTGTCGTCGTGCCGGTGCTTGGACGTCTCCCTCCGCTCGTGTTTGTCGGCCCTGTTCTTGATCACCTCCGGACGCCCGCCCGGTTTGAGATGCGAGGCCGTGTCCGACCCCTCCAGCGCGACAGGGGCACTGGCCGGTTCCTCGGGCCAGCGCTGGGCCTCGAGGGCTGGGATAGGGGCTGCGAGACAGGGGTCTATTTGGCCGTCAGCGCGACCGGCCTGCTGAAGGTCGATGCTCACCATTAGAGGGGGCCGACTAGCACCGTTCCCAGCGGCGGTGGCTTCCTGTGGGGTCAGTTTCCCGGCGTTCCCACCTCCCGTTGATCCACTGCCCGGAGCTCCCGTGGGTCCGCCTGGGCCGCCTGCTCCGGGCTCCAGGGGGAACGAGTCCTGTTTCCTCTTCTTCAGGGGCTTGTCTACAACAGAAACAACCAAATTATTAACAACAAATAACCAACTAACTTCCTTTATTTTCTTTTAACTAGACCACTTTTCATTTGAATTTGGACCACTAACACTTGTTTTCTTTGAGGAATGCTTACGGGGAAAAGGGAAGTTCATTCAGCTGTACATATGAGGAGGTTGAAGGATACGTTGATGCCAGGGCCGAACCATTTGGGAAAAGAAATCAAATTTTTCTGACCAGTATTGAGATTGCAATGAGATGTTTTTATAACGGGGTTCTGTCCAAAGTTCACATTTTAAACACATTTTGAGGAACTGAAAAAAGGACTGAAAAATGAACTGACAAACTAGTGCAAGAATCACATTTCAGAACATATTTGTACAGATTTAAATTTAGATTAGATTAGATTAGATTTTGGAGGAAATTAAAGGCATTGCAAAAATTATAGCCTATATGATTTACAAATTACATCCATTCAAATTTGGATCTTTAATTTGGTTGAAATGAATCTTGCACCTCGAATCTACAGCGGGGCTTTAATTGTTCAGCCAAAGTTGTAACTGTAACATTCACATTAACACATTCACACTGAGCGCAAAGTAAAGTATAGATTCACACCTTTATCTTGTACTTCCTTTGAGCATTTTTCACTCGCGGTCTCTCGTTCTATCCTTTCGATTTCAGCCAGAGCATCGAGTTCTGCTTCGTCATAAGGAGAACTGGGCGGTTGCAGAACGGCGCCCCCTGTCTGCAGCTGTTGAGGACGTGCGCCGTAATTCTGCTGAAGGACCGGCACCTGCTGAAAACCCAGCTCGGTCTCCATGGCGTCCGAGTTCTGGTCCACAGCTGGCACCACCTCACCTGGAGAACATCAAACACAAATGGCGGGTTTCAAATGACGCCACAATATTGCTCGTAATATTAAAACAGATGGGGGCAGTTAACATGAATATTGTTAAAATGCAGTTTGGTCTTGATTAATGGTCACTAACAGAGATTCAGCTGCAACGTATCAATATTGTTAGACTACCGTATTTTACGGGCTATTAGGCGCTCTGGATTATAAGGCGCATTGTCATTAAATGGTCTATTTTCTAACTTTTTTCACAAATAAACCGCACCGGACTTTAAACGAAACAACAGTTGGATGGGTCAGTGGGACTTTGATTGTGGCGTTCACGGTGACTCTGGGCTTTGTTCAGTTGTGGCGTGTGGGGAGGGTGCTGTCTGGGACCGCTGGATTGTCGGCGTGTTCTCAGGGACTCAGTTGTTCAGTTGTGGCTCAGAAAGGCACATTGCACTCGCTTATTCGGTTCGTTCCTTTGTTCCGTTCCTCGTCCGTGTCTGCAGGTGTGTTTCGCTGCGCGGTCACTGTCTGCTCCTTGCGTGTTTGCATGCACTGTGGGTGGTGCGGCTTTGTAGTTTACTGAAGTCGTGCTGGGACACCTGAGTGGATTCATGTATGGGGCGCTCTGGATTGTGTGGCGCGTGGTCGTTTGTTGACGGGGTTAGAGGCTTAAGAGTGCGTCTAATAGCCCGGAAAATAAGGGTAAATAATTTTAACTAAATAATCTTTTGTCATACCTGGAGGATCTGAGTCATTGGACTTGACCCGTGCCAGTTTAAGTGTGAGTTTGGTGGAGTTGGGGGAGCTCACGATGTCATACATGTCCTTTTCCTCTTTTACTGTGGGCGTCTTCTTCTTCTGCTGCAGCTGTGGCTTCTGCTCACTGGGAGATGCTGCGTAGGGAGGAGGGGACTGCAGGATGAGCGGGGGACGTGAACCCGCTGAGGAGACAGGAGCATTTTTAAAACCAGGTCCTTAGAGAGCCCATGTTACGCCATTTTCAAGAACATCCCTGGAGTTGTGTTCTGTTTCATTCATACATGTTTAACACAAACTCTGCAGGTTTAGGCTGTTTCCCCCAATCGCTTTTCAGTTTAACCGGTTGCACAGTCAACTCCAGCAGTGTCATAGGCACATCCAACAGCCGTCAATACGCTACGCACCACTCAAGAAGATAGGTTGGAGTTCTAATTTTGCAGCGTCAACAGAGTGTCTCCAGGCATTATAGCAGGGGCAGAACAGGAAATAAGCGCGTTGTGTCAAAATAAACTTCTGATGCCTTGTTCTCTGGAACTCGGGGAATGACTCATGATGGACTACGGAAAGTTTACAGCCGAAGAGGATGAATGTAAAACATTTTACAATTCTTTATAAGAACAGCTTATGAAGGAAAAGGCGCTTGGTGCAGACCATATACTTTAAATGGTGAGTATCTTAATTAATGTGAGCACCACAGATATGGTTTGGTGTCACTGCAAAGCATCATCTCTCTTGTTGTCAACATTTGTATTGTGATTTAAAATGTAATTCATCCAATCAACATTGAATATGTAGCAATATAAAAAAGTTTGGTGTTTTAACTGTGAGAATTTACAGAAACTAGTGTTGCGGGAGCAGCTCTGTTGCCTCTGGTGTAAACATTCGCTTTTAAAAACAAGCATGTGTGCTGCTCTGCCTATGTTACGTGTCGCTGAAGCTCCTGCTATAAATTTCTCTCAAACTGAAAACACTGTTCCACCTTATGATGTCATAGTAATACAGGAAGTGCTCCACTGTGTTTTTAAACTCCACACACCTTCACTAGAATCATTTGGATAATTTCAACACTGGAATTGCCAATCTCCACTCAACAAAAGAAAAAAGGTAGGTGTTAACTTGAAAATTACCACTACATGACATCACAAGGTGGAAAAGAGCATTTTGAGATTTGGAGATGTAGACAGGGTTACTAAAATATGTGTGAATGAAGCAAAACACAACTTTGGGTATAATTTTGATGAGGTAAAAACATTATAAACATGGCTTAAACCTCACTGGTGTCAATTTTGTGTTATATTGGACCTTCAATGTTTAAGTTACTGAATCTCTGCACATCACTTACGTTTGGGCGTCCCTTCACTCCCGGCAGGAGAACAGCCCGACTGTGGCGACCGTAAGGGAAAAGCTGGATTTCTCATGGAAGAGTCTCCCTCCTGAAGCACAGACAAACAGGAATAAAATGAATGAACTACACAGTTACACACACAAATGTATTTGAGACACAGGTGAATAAATGAAGCGCACCCCAGTCCCTAATCGATGCATGATGTTCATGTAGTCTTCTGTGCCCTGCTGGTCTGAGTGGTGGTTGGCGGCGTTGGTCATCTGTCCTTTGCCTTCGCTCCTGAGGTTCCCTGGAACGATCGGACTCGCTACAGACACTGAGGAAAAGGAGTTTATTATTAGACACAACTTTTAATATTCCTCTCTCTGCAAAAGGCTCTGCAGTCTAAAGAATGGTACAGACATGGTTACTGTCTTAAAAACGTGAAAAACACAATTGCTTCTTTTTAAACAGTTTGGCATGGTTCAAGCCTATTCTTCACAATCCCAGTGCTTTCATGAATTTCTGGTTGCTGTATAGGAAAAGATGAGAAGGTCATGTTCTCAAGTGTCGTGAATGGTGTTCTGAAGGGTTAAAAACTACGAGACCGAGCCGATACATTTTACACATTACTGGGAAAGTGGAGTGTGGAGTGTGGTCTGAGGTAACAAAGGAGGTGATACAAAGGGTACAAATTAGTGACGACTTGACTCTAGAGCTTTAGTCAACAAATACATGTCCTGCTACTTGATTGGTCGACTAAAAAGGGGCCGTGGCAAAGCTCCCAAAACTATTCTGTATCTCTCTGTATCTGACCCAAACTGCACTCACTCTATACCTGCAGGGGGAGTTCATGCAAAACAACTTTTATGCAGAACAAGGTACTAAGAAGACTTGTGAATAGTGAGTATAAACTGCCTTTTCACATATAAATCCCAAAAATCTCTTCATCTAACTCTTTCACTTCTCCTTTCTGCTGTAATCCCATATAAATCTTCATAATCTAAATAAAATGATTCAAATAACAGACATGGTGGTTGAATAGTCGATTAGTCAGCGATGAAGTCTTAAACAACTACAGCCCTACAGTCTACGAATACAAAAGTGGGCATATAAAAACAACATATCAACACCAAGCATCCTGATTATTTACTGCACAGGAGCACTACTCGCCTGGTTTTCAGACAATAAAGACGCTTTACAATTAGACACAAAAAGCAGACAACATTTTGACTCTAAGAACTGTTTATATAATGTACTGGGGCAAACAACATTTTCACTCATTCGGCTCCGGTCAAATGAAGCTCATCGAGGCTAGTAGTTATAGGGGCAAACTTGGAGCAGACTTCCATATTTGGATCTCTGCGGTCAATGGAACCTGTAGCTTCTGCTCCGGTGCCTGTACCCCTCAGAAAAAAGGCACCTGATTTGTCTATTAATGTACATATCTGGATTTTGGGGGGAAAAGAAGCACCAAATGAAAACACCAGGATCATATAGTTCAGATGAATATGAACATTTCAAGACCAAAATGAATGAGGAGCCTGACATCAGCAGTTACAGACAGAGAGCATTAGAGGGTAGTGGATAAGAGCCACAGTTGATGGAGCCGGAAGCATGACCATGTTCACTTCCTATTTGGAACACGCCGGCTAGCAGGTTAGTTATGTCCATTTACAGTCTATGGTACAGCCCCATTGATTTGTAAATGTTTTCTGACAGCACAAGTGTTCTGAGTGAGCTATAGATCCTAAACGATGCTTTGACAGTAAATCTGTACCAGGGCAAGATAAATTTAACTTTATAGCATGAAAAAGCCTTTTAAGTTGTGAATGTTTTGAGAGCGTGAGGCATAGATGAGCACACACACCTGGTTGCATCGGTTGGTGAGGGTTGTAGGACGGGGGTTGAGGATACTGCTGTATGAATCCGGGGGCGGGGCTTTGGGGCGTGTAGGGGCTGGGGACCGGACTGTTCTGACCAATGAACCGACCGCTGGAGCCGCTCTGAGGGGCCACGAAGCGACTGCAGAAGACATAACACAACATTAAATAATATTACATAAGTAGTATTACATTTCTGAAAGACATTTATAGTTAAGACATGGTCAAGCATCTTTTATCAAAGCTTTGACAAAATATACTACTATACTTTTAACCATGCTATTTATTTATTTTATTTAGTGTTCATAAAATTACCTTGAGTAGTTTCAAACAATCACAATATTTTCAAATGTTATAACCTAAAAACAGCTCATGGGCATTCAAATACTGTAGTACACTTATAACATTTTAAATAAAGCATTTTAAACATGAGACTATTTAAATTACCTTGATGAATTGGGAGAAATCGCTGATGACTGGAAGTTTCCCGACTGGGCCGGGCTGTGCATGGAATTCTGTGTGATTTTGTATGATGGTACCATCGGCTGCTGCCGAACATCTGTTCCAACAAAAATTATAATTAGTTTCATGTTCATTATTTCCAAGCACACGTCTGGTAAAAAGTGTTTTCCGTGACATACTTTTCTCCCTGAAGATTCCCGGGTTCCTGGCGAGCATCGTCTGCAGCAGGAGCGGAGCGTCTCCTTCAGGCTCATCACTGCCCAGGTTGTCCTTCAACTCTCTGTCGAAATAAAGGTAAATGAAAAATGTTCAATTATATTTTTTCACAATATGATTTGGCAAAAACAATATATATGTTAAAGTGCAAATAGAGAGGGATCATAGTATATCTACACACAATGGCAACCAAAACTGCAGCTACCCGTTATATGCAACATTTGAGTATGTTTCTGATTCAAAAGATATAAATATTTTGTTACCAGTTGTTAATTGCTACGGCAACTGTAATAATCTGTCATCATTCTGAAACTCATGGATACACTGTGTTAACAAAATTACACCCAAAAATATCTGCTTGAAGATTAAATAAACAGCAGCAACATTTATACTCCAGAAGTAGCACGAACAAAAAATATTCAAATCGACATTATTTGTGCCACCATAACCTCTTCTATGGTAAACGTTGGATTTCGTAAGTTCCCGGGTCACTCACATGTGCTCTGTGGAGACCTGGTTGAGACCTTGGGCTAACTGTGAGGCCAGACTCTCATCTCGACAGCCCAGCAGACACGTCACCTCCTCCGCGATCCGCCCATTGTACAGGAGGCTCTTGGTGGTGGTGGCCGGGAGAGGAGAGGGGAGCGGGAGCTGGTTCAACACTGGAACACGAACACCACGAAGAGTCATTTTGCGCATCGTCTCTCACGTTTATTCAAAATCTTTAGTTAAATTTTTTCTAAGCACTGTGCAGTCAAACAATTTTTATGTGTTTATTTGTACAAATATTGAAGCAAAATGTGTGTAATCTTGTTTTTAATCTACAGGATATGGGCGCTCTTAAAGGTGCCTCGTATAACTGCCACATGCTTGTTGCCATGGAGATGTTATTGCGTCGTGTGTAAGGTTACACAGCATGGCATTAAACCTTTCTATCTCCATGGATACCAAACCGGACCAAGTTACAGGTCAGATCTGTGGAGAAGTGTTTTTTCTTAGTATTTTTGAGCTATAAACCCACCTGTAATTGAATAAATGTAAGGTAGAGCTGTTTAATGTCACACTGTGGAACATTCCAGACAGAGCAGTTACAAATCCATTGAAAAAAGGAGGCAATGGACCCCCAACCAGAAAGTTACATAGTGCAACTTTAATTTATAATTTCACATTTTAAACTTGAGAGGCTGTCCAATATGTTTTTGTGAGTTTGTTTGTTTCAAGCAAAAAGCACTGTCCAATATTTGTCTTGAGGCCCATAAATGTGTGTTTTTTGTTTGTTTTTTTTAGTTTGTTTATTTTCTTTGGTCAATTTACATAAACATAGATCATATTACAATTACAAAGACAATTTTTGGTCATAGTAAAGTTCACAAATTAACTTAAAAAAAAAACAAAAAAAACAGATGGGATGTAAAATAATGTAGATACTTGTTCTTATTTTAAGTCTAACTGGTCTTCTCTTCTCATTTGATTCACCGGTTCGTTCAAATGGATTCACTCGTGGGAACAGAGAGACTGGAACTGCTTAGAAACCATCGGGGTTCATACAGGTGCTAATTTAAAAATGACTTTGCAAGAGTCCACATTTTTCCATGACCTTGAATTCACAGTTTTCAGCCAGTGATGTGCTTTTATTATTATTATTTGACTGAGAATGATAAAACAATTGTACAGTAATAATCTTTTTGGATTAAAACGATACCTGCAGTCCCCGATTTATCTTTTAGTAGAATTCCACAACTTTACATGACTGTACAAAGCCTGAAATCCAGTATATCTATGCCAAATATCAGCAAAAAATGTTGAATACTGGACAAATACTGATATCTGGGAAAACAGGTCATCTTTGTGATTAAAATTATGACCCAAATTATGACAATTCAGGACTGCTTTGTTTGGAAATAGCAGAGATAACGTGGTCTCCGCTGCCTTTCACATTTTTGTCTCATTAGTTTTTGCTGCATGTAGAAAACTTTTATTTATTTAATTCATAAAAAACGGACAGAAAAAGAGCACTCACAGTCAGTAAGGCTAGCTATCCCAGCGAGAGTCGTGATGGGAACATGAGGCATATCCCCATTCATGCTGAAGGTGGCGCTGTGAGTCCGTACACAGGTCGATCAGGGTCTGAAACACCCGCCCTCACATCTCCCGACACCTGGAACGCAACACAATAATCCCGGTTACAACTAATAACAATAATCATACCAAGCCCTTCAATTTGTATTAAGAGATCTGAGAATAAGACACGAGAGCTCCAAGTAGAGCTGCTCGATTATGGAAAAAAAATCATTATCACGATTATTTTTTGGTCAATATAGAAATCACGACTATTCTAACAATTATTTTTTAGTTACACATGCATTTATTCAGCACTTCTCTCTCAAATAAACACTTTGTTATTAATAATTTACACAAAACGTTCAAATTGAAAATAAAAATAGGCTACAAATAAGAACCTTAGAGCAGTTTTGTGATTTATAAAACAAAAAATGAATAAAATATCCTTTGAACATGAAATAAGGCTTAGAAAAACATAAATGATTCCAAAATAAACTATATATCCAGCTGTTCAACAATATCTCCATTTAAATAATAAAATAAATACACTTATTTATATTAAAAATATCCCAAAATAAACTTTCAACTTGATTATATGAGTTTGGAGATTGTTTGACACACAAATCGAAATCACGATCGAAATTCGATTAATTTCACAGCCTGAGCTCCAAGTATTAAACAAAATCAGGGCAGAGACTGAAAACAGCATTTATTTATTTCAAACTAAAATAAAATGAGACAAAACAGATCCAGAAGTGTTACATAGCTGTTCTTTATCTCTCAAGTAACTACAGAACAACACAGAAACTGGATAAGTTCACAGAAAAACACTTCTTGTGGATGTCACATTTTTTAAACGAGATCAAATGCAGTAATTTGTAATCATCAATAATCAGCTTGAGTCTTTTTCATGGAGCGGTCTACACTCAAATACTGTCAGTAAAAGCATGTGGTTTGTAGTTGCGGGCTGGAGTCGACTAAAGACATGTCCTGCTGATCGTTTAGTCGACTAAAAAAGGAGACGCGGCAAAAACTCTCAAAACTATAACGTATTTCTGTGCATCTGACTCAATCTGCACTCACAAGACAACACCTGCAGGGGGAGTTCATGCAAAAAAACCTACAATTTATACAAAAACAAAGTACTAGGAAACAATACATCTATATAAAGACAAATTAAACATGAGAATCATGAGTTTAAACCGACTTTTTACAAAGAAATACCAAAAAATAGCACATCTTCAGGCAGCTCACTCTCTTTCTCACTTCTCCTTTCTGCTGTTGTCTCATATAAATCCTTATCGTCTAAATTAAATCATCAGTCGTCCAACACAGTTTCTGGTTCCTATTAATCGACGAAAGGATTAAAGTTCAGCACCAAACTCACACACTGTATTAGCTGTTGTAGTAAAACTTGCAGATGTAAAAGATTAGAAAATTACACAAAACGCTACAATGCTTAAAATTTCTGTAATAACTCAAATAAAGCCAATCAGTCACGAGATATGATTTAAAATATTAACACTGATGGGGTAAGTAATGGTTCTCTTAGTTTTTTGAAACGTACTACAACGTGTGCAACAACAAATCATGCAAAACTACATTCCAAGGTTACATTTCCAGACGCACTGATTCCAGATATAGGTCTGAACATTGTTTATGAATCATTTTAAAGATTCAGGTCCCTTCAGGTCACGTGTAACTGTCCCCAGAAGTCACATGTGAGCGGAGAGGTCCTTCAAAATTTTGTATTGGAAAGTGCAGTGCAGGTAATGTCGGCCCGGATCAGTCTTGGGGCAGAACGTAGACCTCTTATGATGAAACATTTGAAGTACGATAAATTGACGACGAAAATAGTGATGCTCATTTTTATTTATGCCACTGATGCAATAACCCTAAAACAAGACTTTCCTCAAAAACTATTCGATTCATACAGTATTGTTAATGGACATTAGCTGCGATTAATACATTAAAAACTTAACGAGTAGGGACAGGATAATATGTCGTGCCACAACAAAACTGCCACGAGACAGTGCACACAAGCTGAAAATGATCTTGCGAGATTTTGTTTTTACTTTTGGATTGGATAAAAAGTTACGTACGGCCGAGAAACATTGTTAGAGAAGCCGTAGTCACAAAAAGCAGTGCTACAGCAATAATATTAACTAAAAGTAAAATTTAAAAACGGTGGGAATAAAATTAAGAACATCATTGCCCAATTTTGTAATAGTAAATAATGTCAAAATCTTGTCTTGTCTCGTTACCATAGATCCAGTCTCGTGTCTCGTCTTGTGGAAATTGTATCTCGTCCTACCCCTGTTAATGTGCCATTGAAGTTATTTTTTTAAACTCTCTGAGGCTCAAATCTTATTGTAGTACAAAAAAATAACTGAATTTTCTAGTGGTACAAAGAAAAAGGTACCCACAAAAAACACTGTTCTAACAGGCACTGAACAATAAGTCAATATAGTAATTATTGTAATGGAACCTACAGGAGTGACTGCTCTTTGTAAAACCTACCTGCTCATTCGAAATAACGTCACAAAGCTCGATTTTATTATTATTTTATTAAATATTTGACAATATTCAAATTATTGCTTGGCTTAATCACAGCCTTCAAAAACCTATGGGCAAAGCCTCACGTAATATGTCATGTATGCTTTTTATTATAAGCGCTCTGTGTTGCATTTTTGTATGAAAAGCGCTCTATAAATAAAGTTTGTTGTTGTTGTTATAAACTGCGTAATTTAGGAGAAGTTATATGTTGCTTTTGTAGGAAAGAGTCTTGTCACGGTACTAACGTTTCAAACTCAAATTGGATACTAAGAAATTGACTCAATACCGATTCTGATACCACGATGATGATGATAAAAAAGATCTCTTTCGTTAGACAATAGAACGTCATTTTTTAGCATTAAACTGTAGTATTTTCTTTTATATTCCCATGAGGTCTTATGTCTGTGTGATCCCTCAGTGGTCCAGGCAGGCTGTTCCAATACTTTCTGATACTGATACTTGTTCTGATGCAGCTCAAGATCATTCTAAAGCTGTTCAGGAAAGGTTCATTTCTGTCCTGTGAATGTGACACTTTTAGCATGGATTCAAATGAGCATCTAGTTGTGATGTTGAATTTTATTAGTACCTGATTTTCGATAATTTATTTTCTACTAAGTTTGTCAAAAGTAAGTATCCAGCAACCAAATGGGATGATTTTGAGGATGAAAAAAAAATTGATTTGGGAGTTTTCTGACAAGCTTTGCCGTTTCAACTCGATTATTGACACGGTACGTTTTTTTGTTTTGTTTTCTGCAGAGTGCACAATGTAAACAATTCCTGAGGCGTCACCGCTGGCGAGAAGACTTCAATATGGACCGACAATTCCACGTATTTCAGTAGTGTCTAAACAACAGCTACAGCATTTATCTAGTTAATATGATATGACATGTAATGATCTAAATAACTGCTGCCTTTGTGGTTTGGTATTTATGCCAACTCAATTGTACTTTCACTTTTGATGAAGATACACTGTACGGCCTGGTGTGGTCAAACTACTGTAGTAATAGTCACTTTATTGCCTTAATTAAAACTGTTAAGAGAGAATCCTCAGCTAATATGAAAACAAATATTGAAACTAGATAAATTCTCATCTGAGCAGGTATCATACTGCAAAAAAACACATTAACAGGACAGAAATGAACCTTTCCTTAATAGATAAGTAGCTTCCGAAGTACAAAAAATAAGACCACATGCTAAGATAAAGAATATTTTTATGATCATTGCAGTATCGGAGTATCGAGTCTATTCCTTAACGTCAAAATCGAGTTTGTAATTTTAGTTTCGCAGCACTAGTTAGAATGAACGAACAAGGACTTTCATAACAAACACCAAAATGCGTAAATAAGATCTACCTTTTTGAAGAATCCTCTGCAGCCTTTGGTGGACTCACTGACATCTCAGAAAAAACGCCCCCCTCTCGCAATCTGAGGAAACACAACACAGCGTTCAAATCATCTGCATTTCATTACGTATATGACAATTATAATACAGGAAACACATGTAAACAATTAAACCCGGCGACAGGTTTGATGTTTTATGAGAGACACTTGGGGGACACTTGGAAATATGTGATGACTTTGCGGGATATTAACACTCACTAGGGTTGTCAAACGTATCAAAAATCAGATATGAATCAATATTAAACTAGAATCAAAATAGACAAAAAGAAAAAACAGATAGCAAAAAAATTACAGGACATAAACGAACCGTTCCTGAACTTCCTGAACCTTGTGTTTTGTTTCATTCACAAATGTTTAACGCACAAACTCTGCAGATTTAGGCTGAATTCTTCTCTCAAACTGGAAAAAAAAAAACACTGTTCCACCTTGGGATGTCTCCATACACCTTCACTAAAAACTTTGGGATAGTTTCAGCTCTGGAATTGCCACTCTCTGCTCTCTATCTTCATCGCAAGGTGGAACAGAACATGTGTGAATGAAACAAAACACAACTCCAGGTATGTTTTTGATAAGATAACTTTTTAACACGGTTTAACGCTCACAGGAGTCAATTTTACAAAATGTAGGATCCTTGATGTTGAAAATCACATTCTACTGTCTTTTTAGTATCATCTATAACAGTATTGATTATAGCGTCTAATTTTGTGTTTGAAATGCTAGTATCGTGACAGCACTGACACTGACACATGCAACAATTGCGTTTGATAAACACGGTCGGGGCTGTGTGCTGTGGTCGGCACGGAGCCTGGTCTGACAGCTGTGAGAGTGACAGGCGAGAGGCGGCACAAAGGAGCAGATGCACGGGGAGGGAGGCGGCGGGACCACGGCTGCATCCGACAACAGCCCCCTGCAAAAACTACACGACCAAAACAAGCCAATGCATTTACTCTGCTTTTACTAAACTACTGTGATGAGAGGCAGAAATGAAAACAATTTGTGTTTCTATAACAAGCTGCTGCTGCACGCGTTTTTATGTACGCCAAGTTTCCGCGAGAGAAAGCAGAACGTGAATATCTGGAACGATCAACACAAACAGTGCACTGAGAGTTTGTTGGAGAGTAATGCACTGGAATAAGTTAGTAAGTCAAAGCATAAATATATCACATACTTTCCCAGACGTGCACCTCCTACGCTGCGCTGCAGACTGACAGAACACGGACACGGAGCTTGTAGTAAACAACATTTACGCTTTAGATCGCACCAAACTACTGTAACGAGCCCGCTTTGCACACTGGCTTCTTATAGTCGCTTTTATTTTATAGTTAGCTATTTATGCTAACTAGCATGAACATTTAGTGTTATTGGTTAGCTCTAAGTGCTGATGGGAACAATATTCAAATGTTTGTGGAGGGTTACGTGTTGTTTGGACGTGTAAAGTGCGCGAGTTTATTTTTATACACAAAAAGGCGCAGAAACAGTGTAAAAACTCAAAACACTGGTGCAGAGTGTAATTTTGTGGCATCGGCCCAATCCTCGGGCTCGTAATGACATCCAGAGGCCGTGAGCCTCGGAGCAGCAAAACACACCTAAAGCTAACGTTAGCCTGCTGCTAATGCGTTAGCTTCCGTTACCTCCCGGTCAACGATTAACGACGCTGTCGGTGGTCCCAGAGCAAAACATTTATTAGAGCTAGTTGGGGTAAAAGCTAATAAAAGTCACGCATTTGCAATGGCGTGTATGCGGAAGTATTTACCTTGGGATGTTGCGTTGGAAGGGAGGGGATGTTTTCGCTCGGTTTGTCCGTGTCTCTGCTCTTCTTTCTTCTCCTGATCCTCCACAAGGATCTCGGTTGGCAGCTTTAGCCGCTCGGCTAGCCTGTTAGCCTGCTAGCCTGTTAGCTATCAACAATAATCCGGGTCGGACCGATTGGTTCTTCTTCCGTCACTCAGAGCTGGCTGTTTGAGCGTACATTCGTGGCGGAACATTCGTCCGTCGCCGTTTCAGTCGGTCTGCGCCGACATAAACCAAAAGTAGAGCCAATTTCGACAGAAAATGAGAAAAAGTACGATTGTTGCGCTGATCCAGAGGCTCTCCTCTCGTAGAACAAAATGCCGACCGGAAGTTGTGCCGTCTGATTGAGCAAAGATCTCAGAGTGACTCCCTCCATCGGCGCCAAACAAAACACCAGGCCGCGCTGCAGGCCGCGGCCGCGAGGGGGCGCCACGGGACCGCGGCTGCGCTGGGGATTCGCTCTGTTTAGGTTTTACACGCGTACATCTTTTCAGTTTATGTTTAGCATATTCTGATCCACAGTGATGTTAAATAATGATGTAAAAAACAGCAGCTGTTTACAAAATGAACTGGGGAATAAAGTCTACTGCAGTGGCTCCCAAAGCTTTCACACAAAGTACCAGCTTGATAAATATTTGAGCAGCACGTCTAACACTAAAGCAAGTCCAAATAAACAGGTCTAAATTTGGACTTAAGGTTCCATTACAACCTGGACCAAGTAATACCTAAATGTGTGTAAATCAGATAAATATAAATACGCAAATGAGCAACCTTTACCGTGCATTATAGATTGAGCAAGAAATGTATGTAATAAAGTGCAAAATGACTCGAGTACCACCAGAGGATGCCCAAGGACCATAGTTTGGAAAACACTGGTCTACAGACAATAAATTTTCATGAGTGTGATTTATTTTTTTATTTTTTCAGATGGGCTGAATCTACTCAATATTACATTTATTAAGCACACAGTAAGTAAGTAGTTTAGTTTCAACTTTTTATTAGGTAAAAAAAATTACAAACAATCATGTATGTTTTTATGCAATGTTTTGAATTTACAAAGATGACAAAAATACACCAGCAATTATGAACAGAGGCACAAATAATTTCCTCTAAAGGTAAAAGAAAACGAAACATTTGGTCCTTTAAACCAGCAAATTTTTGCAGCTGTAAAGAGGTTAGATTTTCTCATCTTCTAAAAATATAATTATCTTTACCTATGCAAACACAATGTAAATCTACAGTTAATATCAACACATATCTACATCTCTCTATACAAATGTAAGTATATTAACATTACTATACAAACATTTTCTATCTGATCTAACTGATACGTTGAAATAAAAACCAGCACACACATAAGGGGATACATAAAAGAAAGCAAAATTTCCTCAAACATCTATTGCAGTTTTGTTAATAAAACTTAAACAAAAATATTTCTGGGTACTTAACAATAATTCACATAACAGCATTGTATTTGGGTAGGTCTGACATCATCCAAATTATTCTAGTGAAGGTGTATGGACTTTAAAAACACAGTGGAGCGCTTTCTACACATGTGAACGAAACAAAACAGAACTCCAGCTGTGTTTTCGATGAGGAAACGACATTAAAGCATTGATCAGAAAACAGCGTAACAAGGGCCCTTTAATGTTTGTTTTATGGCATATTTTATTTTTCATATAAATTTAAAGCTAAAATACAAAGTAGAGTTTGGTGAGTCAGCCCAAATGATTGTAGTGACCGATTTGGATTTCCAGCTAGACAAAATTTCAAGATTGGAAACGCTTGTGCAATGGCATGGCTTCAAAACGTTAAAAAAAAAAAAAAAAAAAAACAAGCTTAGTGTAATTTGTAACCTAAAACGCATTTAAAACAAACGTGACCTTTGTATTTTGTAGTATTATTATAAAACATTGAACTCATTGGACAAAAGTACATTAAACTTCACTCAACAAAAATTATTTCCAGTCTTGGCAGAACATTAACAATCACCGCCACTGATCAATTACAGCAAATATACTGTAGACTGACTTGTCCCATGTAATGCTAATCTAAATTTAAGGTCTTATATTACAAAAAACGGACTCTTGTGAGCTTTAAAACATGTTATAATGGTGTCACCTTCTCAAAAACACACCTGGAGTTGTGTTTTGTTTATTCACATGTCTGCGTAACTCTTTATTATTACTCTATCAACATCTCCAGAGCTCAAAATGCTCTAGTCCAGCTTGTGATGTCATGAAGTGGTAGTTTTCAACAGCTACTTTTTACCTTTAGTTCAGCAGAGATGGGCAGAAATCATCCAAATGATACCAGTGAAGCTTCCTGTATTATCACAAGAGTGTTTTCTGTTTAAGAGACGAACTAAATATGCCTAAATATGTAGAGTTTGTGTTAAAAATTAATGAAACAAAACACAAATCCAGGTCTGTTTGTGATGAAGAAACAACATTATATTATAGATCAGACAATAGCGTAATATGGGTCCTTTACTCTTTACTCTTTACTCAACAAAAGCTATTTCCAGTCGTCTTCAGTTTAACAAAAGAGAAGCCTACACACCACGGATAAATTACAGCAAATATATATTCACTTAATGGTCTCATCTAATGCTTTAATCTTATGTTATAAACAGCAGCAGGGCATTAAGGCTGACCAAGTAGAGTTTAAATTTCAGGATTCAGTTCAAAGTTTGCATTTTAAAGTGACAGTTTGGAATTTTGGACTCATTTCCAAGTGAGCCAGAGTGTTGGAGACGTGTGGAGACGCGTTTTTAAAATATTCCATCCAGTCCTTGTATTTGCAGAGGTCGTTGGTGCTAGACTAGTGCATGTCAATGGCCATAGTTATCCTGCCATTAAAAACAGTCTTACCCACTCCACAAAACACCCAAAGTAAATCTATTATTACACCAGACTGTCGATGTAAATGTCTGTGGCGATAGAATAATGTTTGAAATAAATCTAACCTTGCATCGCATGAATTGTCGCACATTGAGGGACTATTTTCTCATATATCAGTCCGCCGCTGCCGAGCCTTCTATCAGGAAATACAACTCGCTGCTGCTGCTCAGACATAAATCCTTCAAATGCAACGCTGGTTTTACTTCTAAAATTATTCTATCGACACAGACATTTACATGGACAGTCTGGCATAATAATAGATTTGTTTTGGGTGTTTTGTGGAGTGGGTAAGACTGTTTTTAGTGACAGGATAACTATGGCCATTGACATGCACTAGCCTGCAAATACAAGGACTAGATGGAAAATTTTAAAAAGCATCTCCACACGTCTCCAACACTCTGGCTCACGAGGAAATGAGGTCCTATGTCCAAAATTCTGAACTGTCCCTTTAAACACGTCTGGGAGAAATGACAAAAATACTGAAACTACAGGGTTAGTAGTTTTTGCGCAGAATAAGATGGGATATTTTGTTGGTTTCCTCAAGGAAATTATGGTATTTTGCTAACTGCGTAGATTCAAATTGTGATTTCGATTCGATGCTGATCTTGAAGCAATACGTCCATTCTGGGTTGGTACGGTTAGATGATCTTTGTGTATATTGCTCTAGTTTAGTGAGTGACACATTTGTTGAGTGTTTTGGATTTTCACATTAATAATAAAACATGCCTTCCCGAAGCTCACTTTAAAGCTGCTCTATGTAACATTTCTGGGGGTCCATTGGCTTGTCTCCATGGAGATGTTATTGCTTAGCCTGTAATGTTCCACAGTACGGTAAACTTGCGCCTACCTTGCACTTATTCAAGTCCTTTCAGGTATTGTTACTGCTAAAACAACACCTTGAAAACACAAACATTGTTACTGTGAGTGAGGGGGATCGCCTCTCCACAGATCTGACTAGTGTAACTTGGCCTGCTGGCATTACCTTGGCACCACATTGTGATCACTATCAATAAAACACATTGAAAAAACAATGCAAACAGTGAACCATTTTACCTTATATGACAAACCTCCTCGCAAAATGTTCTACCTTAATGTAAGGATACTCTAGAACCTGGCACATATTACAACATAGCTAGCATTAAATCTGTGAACTCTACCATTTAGTGGAAGGAACACTTTTACCCCAATAGGCTGTGTTCATGTGACAGGACAGTCAAAATGAGAATTCTATGGGAGAATTTGCAGTTTAAAGATGGGGTAGTTTACTTATTTACATATTATCTGGTAAAACATAACATATTTAGATCACCATGTTGTTTTTTATAGTTTTGAAAATGCTATAGAGGCTGCCATGACACCAGGCACACTATGTCATTGACTTCAGCAGCATCCGAGAAACATGGGCAGGTTTTGGTGTGTATTTGGTTGTTCTAGACGCTCTGAAATGGATAAAATGAATCATTTCTTCACTGTTTCTCTGGAAATTACTCATCAGGAGCTCAAACAAGGGAATTATTGAAAAAAAAAAAAAAAACGGGAATTATGGCTAGAGAACATAAACCGCAAAGAGATTTCCAATGGTACCATCAAGACACACTCATGTCACTTTCATCAAGGTATTTCCTACTTTAATTGTTTCATAGCTTATTTAATGAGAGAAGCACATTTACTGAACTAAAATTTAAAAAGAAAACATTTGTTTTCTTGTTTTCAAACATTTGCCACAGTGTGAGTGGCAGTAGAAACTGTATCTTCCAACGCACATATAAACATGTCACTCGTCGTAGGACCGATGTTTTCTTCATTGTCTTGCTTATCCACAACTATGTCTTCTAGATTTAATCACTTTTTGTGAGCGGATCTTTCTAATGTTCGCGAGGATCTTTTCATGGCCGATTCTTTCGAGGTTCGGCTCACAGACTCTTTGACTCATGCACCATGTTGATCACAGGAGACCAGTGTGGGTTCGCTGAATCGTAAACTAGTGCGGGTTTTTCCTGGATAAATTAATGAAATTTTTGTTCAGTAAATGTGCTTCTTTTATTAAATAAGCTATGAAACTATTTAAATAGCAAATACCTTGATGAAACTTCGGGTGTCTTGATGGTACCATTGGAAATATCTTTGCAGTTTGTTTTTGCTAGCTATAATCCGATTTTTTTCGATAATTCCCTTGTTTGAGCTCCTGATGAGTAATTTCCAGAGGAACAGTGAAGAAATGATTCATTTTACCCCTTTCAGAGCGTCTAGAGCAACCAAATACACAACAAAACCTGCCCATGTTTCTCCGATGCTACTGAAGTCAATGACATAGCCTCTATATTCGCCCAAAACAACGTATTAACATCACAACACAATCACAACTAATGTACGGTGACCGAATGCTCGTTTTCCCCCAGACATGTCTGTTTCTCACGTCCTGTCCTGGTCGTCTGAGTTTTTTTATTTTTTATAAAGTGATAGAAATGTCCGGGTTTTCATTATCTTTCATTGGGCCATTAAACTGAGCGGCTCTCGTAGCTCTGTGTGCACTCAGAAAGAGCGAGCAGACACAAACAGTCAGTCAGCCTGGAACATGCTGAAGCGTAAATGTGCATTTAACGATGACTTGCACAAGAAATTCCAAGCAGGCACATGTGTTTCGGTGTCCAGTGGGGGTGTCGGGGACCTCAAAGCTCACCAGGACACCAAAAAACATAAAAAAGATTTGCCAGGTGAGAGTCGCTCAATGCTGATGATGAGGCCCCACCGCCCGTCCCCCTGTACAGTGTCCTGGTTTTCAGCACATCGCACTAATGAAACTACAGCACATCACATCAGGTTTGTGAAGTTGTAGTGTATAGTCAGTGTTGGGGAGTAACAGATTACATGTACCAGAGTTACATAATCAGAGTACAAATTATGAGTAACTGTATTCAGTTACAGTTACTGTTTCAGTGAGTGGTAATTAGATTACAGTTACTTAGTTGAAATAAATGGATTACACAGAGGTATTTTCCTTTTTTCACATTTTGGGCTATATCCCTTTTTTTTTTCAGTAATTTCACTCATTGCCGTACACTAAACCAGGTCTAAACCCGGTCTAAACCCGGTCTAAACCCAGGTCTAAACCAGGTCTAAACCAGGTCTAAACCCAGGTCTAAACCAGGTCTAAACCCAGGTCTAAACCCAGGTCTAAACCCAGGTCCAAACCAGGTCTAACACCAGGTCTAACACCAGGTCGAAACCCAGGTTCAAACCCAGGTCGAAACCAGGTCTAAAACCAGGTCTAAAACCAGGTCTAAAACCAGGTCTAAACAACGTCTAAACCAGGACTAAAACCAGGTCTAAACCAGGACCAAACGAGGTCTAAAACCAGATATAAACCAAGACTAAACCAGATCTAAACCAGGACTAAACCAGGACTAAAACCATTTCTAAACTATGTCTCAAACAGGATTTAACAGGACTAAACCATGCTGTGTGGACCACATCTCATCCTCTTCTATATATATAATAATATGTTTAATTTGGTTCAGTAAAGTCTGGGCTTTTTATTTTCTTTTAGCAGAGAAAACATCTTATGTTATGATTTCCTCGTCTTTGCTTCTCTCCAGCAAATCAAGTAATCCAAAGTATTCAGATTACGTTACTCACTTTGAGTAATTTAATGGATTACGTTACAAACTACATTTTGGGGTATGTAATCTGTAATCTGTAGGGGAATACATTTTAAAAGTCACCTTCCCAACACTGTGTATAGTTCTGTGTAATTATTTTGTATAATTATGGAGAACTGTCACGTGGGAATGACGTAGACTTGTGGGCTGAGCATTGAACGTAACGAGGGTTCGAATAGGGCCCGGAAGAGATCGCTAAATTACTCAAACATGCATGAATGGCATGAAACTAAAACTGCCACAAAGTTCAATGTCTTCTCTGTTAATTTATAATTTTTTCCACAGTAGTTTCACAAAGTGGTGCTATTATTCACTACCAAAGACGTTGTCGTCAGTTAAAAGGTGATCAGATCGATATGGCAAGTTCGCGGAGCCAATCCCAAACAAATATAATAATTGGATATTACTTCAAAGAGATTCATTTGGATAGAAGTTTGGATATTTCTTTCAAAAACAGCAAATCTCCCATAGAGTTATCAAGACCCCTGCTCTCCATCTGAAATTCCAGTACGTGAACGCAACCTACTGAAAACACGGTTCATTACAGTGCAACAGTGCTCCTAGGAATACAAGAAATGTCTTTTTTCCTCTACATCTTGGTCTCGCTGTTTGGAATCTTGTTGTTGTCTAAGTCATTTTCCTGGGTGATGAGTTGGTACGGTTTCTTGTCAGTTTCTTCCAGCACACAATTTCCGACTTCTGGGTCCGCCTTTTGCAATTCATGGCGAGACAAATGTTCCACGATACCGGCCCCAATGGAGTCTCCCAGCACATTTGTGGTAGTACGCAATCGGTCCCTATAGGAAAAAATATATAAGAGATAAACTTGTGAGGCTGCAAGATTAATGGCAATTTGAAGGCGAAGGCTGCAATTTTTGAAATATTACAATTTCTACAAACAAAACAAAACAGTGAGAGATACTACAGAACATAAATACCACACTCCAAACAACTGTACAACATCTCACTCTTATGTAGGGATGCAACAATATTTGATATAATGTCAAATCATTCGATACTGGTCTAATGATTCGATATATGTGTTCGATATGTATGTGTCCATCCATCCGTGTGTTGTCATTTATTTTGGTCCAAAAGGAAAAGTTATTGCAGTGTCCTTTTCAGATGCAACAAGAAAACACCTCCGTAGGGACTTACAGCTGAAATATTCTAACAGAGGTGGGTTTTATCTTTCAGTCACTTTTTATTTTACGTTGATAGGTCCAGGAATGACAAAGATATTCACTTTAAAATCACGTTTGGCTTTTATCACATCGGCTTTATCAAATGCACTCATGTACACACTTGTGATATATGCAATTTTTTTCTCAGATTCTGTCTCATAAGTTTATACTCAGAAAACAGTCCGTTGAGACATTTCTATGTAATATAACATAGTTTTAGTGTCCGGAAAGAGGATGGGGGAGCACAGTGTGTGTAAAAAGAGCAGGGCAGTGTGGGAGGAGCTACTATGTCTCTGCTGGAGACGAGGCAGAGCAGCAGACACAGGCGTGTGTACCCAGTGAGACTCAGGAGAAAATCATCAAATCATCATCAAAGCAGAAAAAGTAAAAAAGTGATAGTGCAGCTCCCCTACCACTCTATATTAAGAGTAGACTGGTATATTATAAAATAGCCTGAGAAAGCTCTGTTCTTATTTTCACTGAATAAAAACTCTGAGCTGTAAATCATTGAATCAAATGAACTAAAACTTTTCACATATAAATTAGAACTTTACAGTAGTTCTATTGTAATGTGTTGTGTGTAATATTGTGTATTGTGTTAACATCATAGAGTTAGAGTTAGAGTTAATACACATATTATACTCATTAGCAGAAAAAAATTACATGAGATTTTTTTGCGTCTTAAAATGTATTGAAATCGAATTGATATCGTGACCTGTGTATCGAGATACGTATCGAATTGTGGGAAAACCGTATCATCCATGCATCCCTACTCTTATGTTACAGATAATACTCCCTACAACTGCACAACAACTCACCCTTATGTAACAGATAATACTCCCTACAACTGTACAACAACTCACCCTTATGTAACAGATAATACTCCCTACAACTGTACAACAACTCACCCTTATGTAACAGATAATACTCCCTACAACTGTACAACAACTCACCCTTATGTAACAGATAATACTCCCTACAACTGTACAACAACTCACCCTTATGTAACAGATAATACTCCCTACAACTGTACAACAACTCACCCTTATGTAACAGATAATACTCCCTACAACTGTACACAACAACTCACCCTTATGTAACAGATAATACTCCCTACAACTGTACAACAACTCACCCTTATGTAACAGATAATACTCCCTACAACTGTACAACAACTCACCCTTATGTAACAGATAATACTCCCTACAACTGTACAACAACTCACCCTTATGTAACAGATAATACTCCCTACAACTGTACAACAACTCACCCTTATGTAACAGATAATACTCCCTACAACTGTACAACAACTCACCCTTATGTAACAGATAATACTCCCTACAACTGTACAACAACTCACCCTTTTGTAACAGATAATACTCTCTACAACTGTACAACAACTCACCCTTATGTAACAGATAATACTCCCTACAACTGTACAACAACTCACCCTTATGTAACAGATAATACTCCCTACAACTGTACAACAACTCACCCTTATGTAACAGATAATACTCCCTACAACTGTACAACAACTCACCCTTATGTAACAGATAATACTCCCTACAACTGTACAACAACTCACCCTTATGTAACAGATAATACTCCCTACAACTGTGCAACAACTCACCCTTATGTAACAGATAATACTCCCTACAACTGTACAACAACTCACCTTATGTAACCTTATGTAACCTTATGTAACAGATAACCAAATATCCTGTCAATCATCATAAATATCATCATAAACATGTGATTCTTGTTTTAGTTTATCAGCTCATGTCTGTAATCATCTGCATTCAAACATTTAAAATACAGAATTCCACTATTAAAACATAAAACACAATGAAATATTTTTCTCAAACTGTGCAGCCCTATAAATTAGAACTATCACTACTATGAATAAAATACACAATATTTGCTTGCGTTGACAATTTACAAACACCACATTCAAACTGAAACTGTGTGAACATAAAGTAGTGTTTATTACAATTTTAGTACGTATCTATTATCAAACATGAAATTATAACATTTTAAGTCAATACCAATAACTATCAGGGCCAAATAATATAAGGAAATGTTTAAAAGAACCAAATTAAGCTATTTTCTGTGTTCTATGTTTAAATGTTTTAATGTTTCCTCATCAAAAATATAACAGGAGCTTTGTTTGAGAGAATAAATGTGCAGTGTTTGTGCATCAAAAGTGTGAATGAAACAAAACACAACTCCAGGTATGATTTTGGTGAGGAACATTGCGTAATATGGGCCCTTTAAACTAGTAGCTATAGCGAAATGGAAAAATGGAAATGTGCTGGAGAGAATAAAAACCAGATTGAGGTTAGGAAAGTGTTCCAATTGCTAAAAAAAAAAGAAAAAAAAAGGACTTGTTATGTAAACATTTCTGTGACACCATGGAGGCCAAACTTACAGGAACCAATCGACTGCGATGATGAGGGTGATGTCATCCGTGGGCAGGCCGACAGATGTTAGCACTATCACCATGGTAACCAGTCCGGCCTGAGGGATCCCAGCTGCACCGATGCTCGCCGCCGTCGCTGTGATGCTGAAGAGGACGAGGGGATATTTGATCAGAGGAGAGGAGTGGCAAAAACAAACAAAGAAATAAACTAACTAACTAACTAACAAAAAACAGCTTTGTGGATTTTCTGTTTTGTAATTTAAAGCTGCGCACTAAGTAAAATTTCTTGTCAAGGGTCAACCACCATGCTCGACATGTTATTGCTTTACCCGAAATGTTCCACAGTATGGCGTTAAACATACCGTATCTATCTCCATGGAGACGAGAAGGCCAGTCAGATTTGTGGAGAGGCAATTCACATTCAGAGTAAGGATGCATGTGGAATTGAATAAAAGTGAAATAAATAATTATGTTTAAAGGGATAGTTCAGGTTTTTTGACATGAATCTGTATGTCATCCCCGTCAGCAGTGTGGTGCATCCACACTGACTTTACCTCCGACAGCGTCCGGTGAGCTAAGATCCTGGCCGGTTTTAGTGCTGAGGAAAGTAGTCCGGCAAGTTGGCTGGGGACAGTCTAATAAAGCGTTTTTCTTCTCAAAACAATATGTGTTCAAAAGAGTGATACATTTGCACCACAAAACCTCCGTCCTCTAAAAAGTCAGCCCTCATAATCGCTTGGCGCTATTTTCTCTCCGTACGTATCACTGCGCACCAGGTGACAGCTGCGCCTGGTTCACTTTGTTAACTGCTCGGAATGTTATCAAGAACATGTCTGATTACGACACCGATGATGAAGACACTGATTTTAGCACAGAGCCAATGGGATATGTTTTTAAACCCAAATATACCGATGCCGAAATTCGCCAGAGAGAGTTAGACCGGAGAGAGAGAGAGAAGAGGCGAATATTCCAAGCAGTTAACAAAGTGAAACAGGCGCAGTGATACGTACGGAGAGAAAATAGCGCCAGAGGACGGAGGTTTTGTGGTGCAAATGTATCACTCTTTTGAACACATATTGTTTTGAGAAGACAAACGCTTTATTAGACTGTCCCCAGCCAACTTGCCGAACTACTTTCCTCAGCACCAAAAACGGCCAGGATCTCGGCTCACCGGACACTTTCGGAGGTAAAGTCACCACACTGCTGACGGGGATGCCACACAGATTCATGTCAAAAAACCTGAACTATCCCTTTAAAGCCATTCCAAGTAATAACATCGCCATGGAGACAAACAGGTAGTGGACCCCTCACCAGAAAAGTTACATACTCCACCTTTAATTAAAAAACAGTGAGTTAATAACCAGGGCTTTAGAGTACTGTTACTTCAAAATAAGATGACTTAAGTACTGTAAATGAAAGTATGTTGTGATAAAATTACTATTAAACCTGCAATTTGTTCAAAACATTACTCAAATAAATGCATATAAACTAAAGTAACCTAACATTACTACAGAGAGCTCATTGTAACTGTATTTAAGAGTTTCCCAGTCCAATTTTTAATTCAAAAACACTGAATCAACCATTGATTTTTATATTCTTGTTAATTCAAAATAAGATAAGCTACTCTAGATAAAAGTATGTTGTGATAAAACTATTATTAGTAGTGCAATTTAGTTCATGCGCTTGTTTTTAAATGTTTTGAACAAAGTAGTCTAACATTACTACAAACCATTCCTTGTTTCCCAGTCCACCTTTAAATGTGAACAATTAAAGTGTGAATCAACAATTGAGTTATTTAACCAAAGCTTATATTTAAGTAAGAGTAGAGTTACTTCAAAATAAGACGTTGGATAAAACTACTATGCAATTTGTTCAAAACATTGTTCAAATAATTCATTGTAACTGTATTTAAGAGTTTCCCAGTTCATTTTTAATTCAAAAACAATGAATCAACCATTGACCATTATTCAGACAAAAGCACATGAACTAATGTAACCAAACATTACTACAAACCGTTCATTGTAATTGTATTTAAGAGTTTCCCGGTCCACTTTAATTAAAAAACAATGAATCAACTATTGAGTAATTTAACCAAAGCTTATATTTAATCAAGAGTACTGTTACTTCAAAATAATATTAAACTACTCAAGTAAAAGTAAGGTGTGAGAAAACTACTATTAGAACTTAAATTTGGTCAAAACATTCAAATAAAAGCTCATGAATTACTGTAGCCTAACATTACTACAACCATTCTTTGTAACTGTATTTAAAAGTTTCCCAGTCCACTTAATTAAAAAACAGTAAATCAACCATTGAGTTATTTAACCAAAGCTTATATTCAAGTAAGAATACTATTACTTCAAGATAACTACTCAATTAAAAGTAAGGTGTGATAAAACTACTATTTAAAGTGTAATTTGTTCAAAACATTATTCAAATAAACGCACATGAACTAACGCAGTCTAACATTGCTACAGACAGCTCATTGTATCTGTATTTAAGGGTTTCCCAGTCCACTTTTAATTCAAAAACAGTGAATAAGCAATTGAGTTATTTAACCAAAGGCTTATATTGAAGTAAGAGTACTGTTACTTCAAAATAAGATTACTCAAGTAGAAGTATGTATGCAATTTGTTCAAAACATTACTCAGATAAACGCACATGAACTCATATAACCTAACATTACTACAGACAGTTCATTGTGACTGTATGTAAGAGTTTCCCGCATATATTCAGAGCCGTTAAAGCGGTGGTTAGTAGCTCTCCCAGACCGGTGCCTGTGGTTTCGGCTTTGGAGGGGACTTATTTTAGTTTGGTTGAGTAACAGTCTTGTAATGCCAATGTACAAATTGCCTGCGCTACCCTTTACAAACTAAATATGAAAACAAAATGAACTGTAGAGAAGCGAATTCACAGTACGGCTTTTATTTAGCAATGATTGAATAAATAAACTGAAAGCTTAATGCCACACTGTGCAGTATTCCAGGCAAAACAATAACAGGTTTGGGGTATTGTGGACGCCCAACCAGAAAAGCTACACCGCTTATGTTTAAAGAAAGGTTATTAGACTTCTTAAAACACATAGTATTAGATCAAAATGTTACCTTTTATTGTTTTTAAAGTTTCACAATCTGCGTGCGTTTCACTAATGAACTACTGCACATTGCGTCAGGTTTGTGAAGTTGTAGTGTAAATTTAAAATTCAATTCAATCTCTATGAAGAACACGTAATATCTGGTTCATAGTATTAAAAGAAAATAGGTAATAAATAAATAATAAAAGTCCTATACTATGCAAAATTGACTCATGAGAGCTTTTAGTCATGTTAGTGCATTGTTTCCTCATCAAAACTGTATCATACCTGGAGTTCTGTTTTGTTCCTACATCTTCAAATCTCACAGTGCTCTGTTCCAACCTGTCATGTCCTGAAGTGGTAGTTTCAAGTTAACACCTCCTTTTACCTTTTTGTTTACAAGAGATTGGCAGTTCCAGAGCTGAAATCATCCAAATGAATCTAGTGAAGGTGTACGGGGTTTAAAAACACAATGAAACACTTCCTTTGTTTTAGCACATGACATCAAGTTGGAAAAGAGCGTTTTCCGTTTGCAGGGTGCGTATTAAACATACGTGAATGAAACTAAACACAACTCCAGATAATATGAACCCTTCAAGACGTGTTGAGCATTGGTGTCAAATGAGCATTGAGCTAGAGCTGCTCGATTATGAAAAAAATCATTATCACGACTATTTTGGTCAATATTGAAATCACGATTATTCAAACGATTATTTTTTTAGTTACATGATGCATTTATTTGGCATTTTTCTCTCAAAAAACACTTTGTTATTGTTAATTTATGCAAAACTTTCAAATTGAAAATAAATATAGGATCCAAATATATACCTTAGAGCAGTTTTGCAATGTATAAAAAAGAATAAAAATATACTTTGAACATGGAATAAGGCATAGAAAAACATAAATGTATCCAAAATATACTATATATCCAGCTGTTCTACAATCTTTATATTTAAAAAACAAAACAAATATACTTATTTATATAAAAAATATCCCATAACACACTTTGTTAAGCTTTAATTTTTTTCAACTCGATTATGAATTTTGGAGATTGTTTGACACACAAATTGAAATTGCGATCCAAATTCAGTTAATTGCACAGCCTTATACTGAGTTCAGATAGGGCCCAGGAGAGATCACTAGATTACTCAAACATGTATAGATGATATATAAAACTTCTTGACATGTGTTTTTGATGAGAGAACAGCATTATAACATGGTAGGAAACCCCGAAAGGTTGATTTAGTATAACCCACCTCTTTAATAATTCATGCCTAAACAAAATCATAATAAAATAATGAAGATAAAGTACAAGGTAGAATAAAAATGTGCGTGTTTTATTTTGCGTACCTTATGGTGAGAATCTGTCCGAAGTTCAGGTCCATGTTGTTGACCTGGGCGATAAAGATGGCTGCCAGAGCTTCGTAGAGTGCGGTGCCGTCCATGTTTATGGTGGCACCGACGGGAAGTACAAACCGGGTCACACGCTTGTCCACGTTGTTGTTTTCCTCCAGGCATTTAAAGGTAATGGGCAACGTGGCAGAACTGTGAAGAGGGACAAAGAAGGGATAGAGTTAATATTATAAAGGCATGAAAGGTCCTGTATTAGCTTTAGACCATAATACCATACTATAATGTTGTTACATCATCAAAAACATACCTGGAGTGGTGTTTTGTTTCATTCATACATGTTGGAGTAATCTGTCTATAAAATCTGGAACACTCTATTACACCTTGTGATGGAGTTGGGACATACCAACTCCAGGTATGCTTTTGATGAGGAAACAACAATATAACGAGACAGGCTGGTGTCACCTAGTGCCTCCTCTCAATTTCATTTCTCTCCAGCGACTAGCTCAGGAATCGGAATATGTGTTAGAAAACTGCGGTGCCCAATGGGAGCTGACACCAACGTGAACTTCATCACAACAAAGCGACATAGAGTTCCGCCTATGGATCATTTGTACCAAAATGACAACACAACGCTGACGAATCCTACACATATCATCGATTAAAAAACTTATTTGGAGAACGAAGTAAGAACAGAGCAGTGAGGGTGTGCTGATGGCAATGAAAATGCCTACTGCCTCCGCTCAATTTCATTTCCCTCCAGCGACTACGTCAAGAATCAGAATACACTAGACAGTTTGAAAGAACCCCGGGAGTTGTAGACCGCACACCGGCCAATCAGTGAAGAGCTGTGAAGCCATGACGTCAAACTCAAGTGCCTGTCTGGGTCCTTTTTGTGGTACAGCACAACAGTAAACAAAGAAATAACCACATTATGGATTGGGACGGGGCTCGGGTCATTGGATCGGAAAACAACAAGTTCAAACGCTGCATCAGGGAGGCCACTGAAATCAGGAAACGAGGTACAGACAGCATTAATCGCGATGGCAGAGCCTTCCTCCTTTCACCCTCCTTCAGAGAACACCGGGCGACGAGAGGCGTGGTCAGTCTGAGCAACCTGCAGGTTCATATCAGACTGACAGTGTTGGGAAGGTTACTTTTAAAATGTATTCCCCTACAGATTACAGATTACATACACCAAAATGTAGTTTGTAACGTAATCCATTAAATTACTTAAAGTGAGTAACGTAATCTGAATACTTTAGATTACTTGATATTGTCATGCTTTTTCACTTGTTTTGTATATTACCATTTGTCATTTAATATATAAATTAAAAATATATATATTGCCATGTTTTTTAAAACTACATGAATGTAACAACCACATCCTGAAAATGACTAATACTTGACCACATAAAAAATATTATTGATAGAAAAATTGTTTTTATATGAAATCACAATTATGTCCACCTACAGTTAGTGTCATATTGTATTAGTTTAGTCCTGGTTTAGTCTGGGTTTAGTCCTGGTTTTAGACCTGGTTTTAGTCCTAGTTTAGTTCTAGTTTAGTCCTGGTTTTAGTTCTGGTTTTAGTCCTGGTTTAGTCCTGGTTTTAGTTCTGGTTTTAGTCCTGATTTTGTCCTGGTTTAGTCCTGGTTTTAGTCCTAGTTTAGTTCTAGTTTAGTCCTGGTTTAGTCCTGGTTTTACTCCTAGTTTAGTCCTGGTTTAGTCCTGGTTTTAGTCCTAGTTTAGTCCTAGTTTAGTATTAGTTTAGTTCTAGTTTAGTCCTGGTTTAGTCCTGGTTTTAGTCCTAGTTTAGTTCTAGTTTAGTCCTGGTTTAGTCCTGGTTTTAGTCTTAATTTAGTTCTAGTTTAGTCCTGGTTTAGTCCTGGTTTTAGTCTTAATTTAGTTCTAGTTTAGTCCTGGTTTAGTCCTCGTTTTAGTTCTGGTTTTAGTCCTGGTTTTAGTTCTGGTTTTAGTCCTGGTTTAGCCCAAAATGTGAAAACAGGAAAATACTGCCGTATAATCCATTTATTTCAACAAAGTAACTGTAATCCAATTACCACTCACTGAAACAGTAACTGTAACTGAATGCAGTTACTCATAATTTGTACTCTGATTATGTAAATCCGGTACATGTAATCTGTTACTCCCCAACACTGCAGACTGACCACGCCCACAGGAAGTAACAACAGCTGATATACGACACGTCACCACCAACACATGTGACACTTCTGAAGATGACAGCAGCAGCAGCCGAAACATGTCAACAAGGTAAATACACTTTACTGTATTGTCTTTAAAAAGAACCCAAGAAGTTATAGTAAACAAAGCGGTCGAGACGGATGTAGAGGAAGACAGACATTCTGTGTTGGCAACGATTCCCGAGATCGAGGATTTAAAGCCAGAACAAAGAGAATGTTTAGTGAATTTTATCAAGGGGAAAGACGTTATTGCCCTTCTTCCTACGGGATTTGGTGCATTACATACGTCGCAACCAAATAGCAGCGATTGGTTAAATTAAAAAGTACCTGCCTGTCGTCGAGCGAACGAATCCTAATGCAGCGAGGTCAGACGGTTTCCACAACGTGAAACCATCTGATGAATCAGGCTACAATATAATAGAGATGAGAAAAAGTGTAATTTGGGCCTTTGAACTATGGACAATGACAAGGTAAAATTGTGAAAAGACAATAAGAATGTGATATTGTGATTCCTGCGCTTTATTTGATGGTCAGAAGAAACCTTGGACAAGAGAATTTCTACATTCAATCATGCTCTGTTCAATACTTTTCTAACTCTCATGGTTCCATTATTAACTGAGCAATTCTCACCTCATCACATAAGTTTTCATCCTAGAAACAGAATATAAGAAAAGCACACATTTTTTTTGAATGTTTTAATGCTCTAAAATATCTGATTTGTTTCAGAGTATGGCATAAAAAATCTCCAATATTCCAAAGTATGGTTTTAATTTTCAGTCTCCATGGATTGAAGAAGCATGCCCAAAACTAGAAATGTTGTGCGATGGGACTTTAACTGTTTTTCATTAGTTTTAAGCTCCGTTTTATTATTAAAGTTGTCACAGTGAGTTTAACGCTTTTTTAAAATCAATATAGGAGCATTCTGCATACACTACCTGTCATTACTGTAAGATTTTGTATTGTATGTTGTTAGTTAAAAATACCTTGAAGAAGTCCCCAGAGCGGTGATGAGCGCCTGCAGCAGCCCCCCGATGAAGATGAAGGGGTTTTTCCTGGTGACCACAAAGTAGAGAGTGGGCAAGACCAAGATGGCGTGCACCAAGAGGCCGCTGATCACCGTCACCGTGTACATGCCCAGCTGCCCGCCCATGGCACTGATGTCGTCCATCTCCATGATCTTACCCGCGATGAGGAAGAGGATGCCAATACATCCGGAGTACGTACCTGACAGTTCAAGACAATGTTAAAATGTCTGAGTAAACATTTTGTAAAATATACAAACAAAAGAGGTGACAATACACACACGATAGATATACGATCATTATGATCATTATTATCATTTGGACATTTTAAGTCACATTATTCATCTAAAACGACTTAATAAAAGAACCAAATCTGTTCACTTCTGTGCTAGAAAACTGCTGTGCCCAATGGGAGCTGACGTCAACGTAAACTTCATCACAACAAAGCAACATGGAGCTGTATTTTCTAAACTGCACACCATTTTTTCATTTGTACACAACATTGACAAATCCTTCACATATCACCGATTAAAAAGCTTAAATCTGAGAACAAAGTAAGAACAGAGCAGTGAGGGTGTGCTGATTGGAGTGAGAAATGTCTCGTGCCTCCGCTCAATTTCATTTCTCTCCAGCAACTAGGTCAGGAATCAGAATACACTAGACGGTTTGCAAGAACCGACCAATCAGCAAAGAGCTGTGAAGCCATGACATCAAACTCAAGCGCCTGTCTGGGTCCCTTTTGTGGAACAGCACAACAGTAAACAAAGCGTTCGAGATGGATGTAGACGAAGACAGACATTCTGTGTTGGCAACGATTCCTGAGATCGAGGATTTAAATCCGGAACAAAGAGAATGTTTGGTGAATTTTTAAGGGGAAAGACGTTATTGCACTTCTTCCTACAGGATTTGGCGCATTACATACGTCACAACCAAATAGCAGCGATTGGTTAAATAAAAAAAGTACCCGCCTACTGTCGAGCGAACGAACCCTAATGCTGGTTTCTATGAAGTGAAACTGGCTGATGAATCAGTCTAGTGAAAATAGGGGTTGAGCTGCAATGTGGCGTCTTGAAAATAAACTATTAAAGATTGTTCAAACCTGCATGAATCAATTTTCAGTAGAATTTTAGCCGTCTTGGTCATAATCCAAGATGACCATTGGCAAACTATCCCGAGAGGCAGGCCTTGATACGATCTATAATAAAAACAGTGACAGTGGATCGACGTGATTTGAGTGAGAAAATCACTTCACATGCTGGAACAGACAATAAAGCTTATCTGTCTATCTATATTATTTATCACTATGTTTTTGGAGAATGAAATAGAGACAGGGCCTAACACAGGTGAAACAACACCCTTCTGGTGCTCCGGACCAATACCACTGATATATCTGGATTATTTAAAAGCCTCTTGAGATGAAAAACAAGGAGGACTTTACCACTGTTACTCAGGTGCATGATTTCTCAAGGACTACAGGTGGAAATAAGCTCTAGTGCTACAACCTGGTCTCACAGTATGGTATTTAACCTTTCTATCTTCATGGAGACCGAACCAGACCAAATTACAGGTCAGATCTGTGGAGAGGCGACCCCGCTCACAGTCAGAACGCCTGTTTTTCTCATTATTTTTGAGCCATAAAACTACCTGTGATTGAATAAATATAAATATAAGGCAGATCTGCTTAATGTCATACTGTACATGGAAACTTCCAGGCAGAGCAATGACATATCCGTAGAAACAAGCAGGTGAGACAGACCCCAAACCAGAAAAATTACACCGTGCACCTTTAAATAAACAAACTAAATCTTCGTCAACAACAGAACCAAATACATAATTCAATAAACGATGGCACCCCTACTCACGCTGATGGTTTTGCACTTGTTGTTCTACCCAGACTTGTATATTTTGTGTTCAGTCCAAGTCTATTTTTGTATTTACTTTTAGCGCACACCCTTATTTTTATTCTGTCGTACTACTTTTATCCTTTGTTTTATGTTGCACCATAACACAGAAGCAAGTTCCTAGGTCAAGCATTCGGTTCACTGACACACAGCGACAATAAAACAATTCCGGATTCTGATTCTAATTGTTTAAGTCTAGAACAGGTGCTCATCAAGGACAAGGCTCAAAAGCTAACGGACAGTGAAGATGACCAAGCTTGTAATATAAAAACTGAATGTGATGGAGTAAAAAGCAGTTAAAACAGTCCAAGTCACAGTGTTGGAATTATAATAATAATTTTATTCCAACAGAGTGCTTCTAACTTTTTTCATCGGTTTTTACTTTATGTCCAGTCATAACCACACGCTTTGACAAAACTTTGCAAAGGCGAGTGGATCTGGAGCTGTGTCTTGTCTCCCTGATTTCAAAAGGTGTGACTGACAGGCGGATTAACCAATCAGAGAGAAGCAGGCTTTGTTCACATCAAATGGTTGCTTACACTTAAAAAAAACCTGAAAAACCTACATAATGGACTGAGAAACTGTGCGGATTTTTACAGAATCAACAATCGAAGCACCAAATTATTATTATTTCAGCTCAAAGAAGTTTTATATTTTGTTCTAAATGAGAATTTTCGAGAGGAGATGTCATTTGAGATACACATGATACAAATTAGTGTCTGTGGCTGGATCATTAAAAATTATGACACTGCTAATTTCACTGATCTGGCCAAGATTTTAAAACTTATATCAGGTTATTCATCTTGTTTTCAGATTTATTATCGACTTAATAGTTCTGAGACTGCTTCATTCTAGTCAAGAAGTAGTTTATTTTAAGATAGCTTGTAACGTAAAATTATCTTGCTGCATGGACAGATGATTTCACTGCACTCTTAAGTCATTTTCTGATAGATTTAAGTGTTTATATCTTAAGTTTTGGCCGAGCTTTTTTGCAGTGTATGGTCCGGTGCTTCCCGATTCGAAATAGAATGTAAACGCGGTCAAAACGTGCTGGTGTCCCTTCATGAAATAAAGGACTTTTAATATATTCAGTCAGAGTGCCTCGGGTTTGTACCTTGCTCACTTTTACATTTTCCAGTCAGGGTAACTTTCTGTTTAAAGACGACTGTTTTAACCCTCGTAAAGCACCTGTACTGCTATTTTTTACTCTTTTATGACCCAGTGAAGAGCTCTACCCTTTTTTCTTTATCAGAATGTAGAAGGGACTGACTGGTCAGGTAAGAAAGTTTTTGTACTGCAAGCATGGTCACCTTCACTGTCTTTACTTTCATTTTGTTCATTTTCATTCATTTTTGTTTTCTCTTACACACACACTTACCACATAATGATCGCGACCAGCCTCATGATGGCCTCGTTGAGACAGTCGAAGAAGTCCCTGAGCGGCTGCCCCTGCTCCCTCATGCTCCCGATGATCAGACCAAAGCACATGGAAAACACCACCAGGCCCAGCGCGTTTATGCCGTTCACAGACCCAGGCACGGGGATCATCTCCTCGCGCAAAATCTCCTGGGTCCCATTCTCAAAGAAGATCGTGTCGTTCACAGTCATCTGCACATGGATCACCCGCTTGGCGTACTGCGTCTTGTACTGAATCAGACAAAGACAGCACAGTTGGACTAAAGGTGCACTTTGTAACTTTTCTGGTGGAGGATCTGTCAAAATGTTTTTCTCCATGGACACGTTATTGCTTTGTCTGGAATGTTTCACAGTAGGGTATTAAACATTTCTATTTTCACAGTCAGAATGTATGTTTTTCAAGGTATTTTTGAGCTATAACCTTAATGTAGAACTGTTTAATGTCATACTGTGGAAGAGTACGACAGGCAGAGAAATGACATATCCATAGAAACAAGCAGGTGACAGGACCCCCAAATAAAAAGTTACATAGCTCACCTTTAACATGCAATTCCTGTGTTTGATTAGGGTTGTCAAAGTTATCGAAACTCAGATATTAACTAGATACTCATTTGAGCAGGTCTCGATACTGAAAAAAACACATTCACAGGACAGAAATGAACCATTCCTGATACCTTTAGAATGATCTTGAGCTGGATCAGAACAAGTATAAGAGCAGATAGACTAGTATATGCCCATGGACCACTATGGAAGCTACGTGGACCACAAATTAGGGTTGGGCAGTAATACGGTATTACGATATCCTGCGGTATCAAAAAGTAGCAACGGTATCAGTTTCATTACCGTCATTACAAAAAAAAGGCACTGCATAAGGACCTATTATTACAATATAATTTACTGATACCTAAATTTGTGTGGGGTTTTATTTTCAATTTAATGCGATCACGATTTAAAACCAATAGTGTCTATAACGTTTCTTTTAACTGTGTGGGGAGACAATGTTCGATTAGTTTCGTTCTGTTGTCACGTGACGCTCATAAGAGAGACGAAGACAAGACGGCAAGTCCGGCTGCAAGAGAGTTGGTCCCAAAAAAAAAATACTAGTACTTCTGCAATTTGGCAGCATTTTGGTTTCAGGCACACATTTGTTCATGTCATACAGAAACAAAACTTAAAGGGATACTTCAGGGTTTTTTTACATGAATCTGTGTGGCCTCCCCGTCAGCAGTGTGATGCTTCCACTCTGACTTTACCTCTGAAAGCGTCCGGGGAGCCGAGATCCTGGCCGGTTTTGGTGCTGAAGAAAGTAGTTCGGCAAGTTGGCTGGGGACTGTATAATAAAGCGTTTGTCTTCTCAAAACAATATGTGTTCAAAAGAGTGATACATTTGCACCACAAATCCTCCATCCTCTAAAAAGTCAGACCTCATAATCGCTTGGCGCTATTTTCTCTCCACACGTATCACTGCGCGCTGCCTGCCAGGTGACAGCCGCGCACGGATCCATCATTTTCTTCAGTTGTTCGGCAGTGTTTACTTGTTCAGACCGGTGACCACCGCGACGTGAGAGCGCTAATGTCAGAGCTAGCGTGATAGGTATATAAGCCTGTATAAGATACATAACTATATATCTAGAAAATGGTGGAACTTGCGATTTTCCAGGCTGTAACAACAAAAATCTGTCTGAATCTCCACACAAATTTCACCGTTTTCCTGTAACGGATGTATATTCGGGTTCAAAAAGATATCCCATTGGCTCTGTGCTAAAATCAATTTCTTCATTATCGGTGTCGTAATCAGACATGTTCTTGATAACATTCCGAGCAGTTAACAAAGTGAACCAGGCGCGGCTGTCACCTGGCGGCCGCGTGCAGTGATACGTACGGAGAGAAAATAGCGCCAAGTGATTATGAGGTCTGACTTTTTAGAGGATGGAGGTTTTGTTGTGCAAATGTATCACTCTTTTTAACACATATTGTTTTGGAAAGGAAAACGCTTTATTAGACTGTCCCCAGCCAACTTTCCGAACTACTTTCCTCAGCACCAAAACTGGCCAGTATCTCGGCTCACCGGATGCTGTCGGGGGTAAGTCAGTGTGGATGCACGACACTGCTGACGGGGATGACATACAGATTCATGTCAAAAAACCTGAACTATCCCTTTAAAACCACATGGCTCATTTGCACAAACTATAAAGAGCTGATAAAAGCAGCTTCTGTCAGATTAAAGGACACGACTTAGTAGAATATGAGTGTTCTTTGTGTGACAGAGGAAGTGTTGCTGATGGTGAGTCTGTTCTGTGCATTTATTGCATTGGAGATGTGATGTTTCATGTCAAACTTTACAGAAATTGTAAGTCCGCAGGTCATACACATAGACCATATAGAAGTGTGGCTTTGTAGCTTACTAAAGTCGTACTAAAACATTTTGGTAATATGGTAATACCGTATACCCCGATAAAATCCTGAGAAGGTTTAACAGTATCAGAATTTAGATACCACCCAACCCTACCATAGATAAAAGACCACATAGGAATAGAAAAGAACATTATTATTTATATGAGTTAATATTTATTATTTATTAATTTTTATGTATCTTCAAATACATTCTGAACAACTTCGTATGAATAAAAGTTCAAACATTATGAGACATCATAAATCAAAACCGATACCTGACCTGATATTCAATACTAGTATCAGTATCGGTGCATCCCTAATTTTAACGTAACATGAATATTTCAGTTTATTTTGAATTTCTTAGGTCTATGTGGGAAGAATAACATGTAAAGTGGGAAACCTAAACTCCACCCACAATCACAGTCCAACCGAGCTGTTAAACGGACTTTCGACAGTTCTTGACCACAAAGCTTCAAATTAACATAGTTTGCACTAAAACATGCAAACTATGTTAATTGTTTGTGTTAAGTCCAAAATCAGATTGTGATTTGATCTTATGTTCAACTCATAGGCTTCCTGTTATGCAACATTTTAGGGACTTTTTCTCATTCATAAAACTATATAATATTTTGTTAGTTGCTATTAGAGATGCACGGATGGGCTATTTTTTCATCCACAATATTTTGTTAGTTGCTATTAGAGATGCGCGGATGGGCTATTTTTTCATCCACAACCGCGACACAAAACTCATCATCCGCCCGCTGTCCATTTTGCACCGAAGGTTTTCAAAACCGCACCCGCCCGCCATCCACCGATTGATTTTAGATTTTAGAACAATCACACAGCAAACAAACTAAGGAGCCTCGATAAAAATGCAAACTCTTAAGGATATGACGTACACTTCATACTACAAGCATAGACAATGACACTCGTCTTTTCAGATGTTGGTAACAATACTAACAATAACTTTTTTTTTTTTTTTTTTTTTTTTTTTTTAGTAGTTAAACCGCCACCCGCCCGAATTTAATTAAAATATAATTTTTCATCACGTCATCCGCCCGACCCGCGTATTAACCGCGGATACCGCGGTTGTAACCGCAATCCGCGCATCTCTAGTTGCTATGACCACAGTACACGTTTTTCATCATTCTGGACCTGTGTATATAAATATGTTAAACTGTTTTATAGTGTTAAAGTAAAAAATAAAAAAATAAAAAAGATTTACCTGTTTGGTGCAAGCTTCAACAATATTTGGTGGAAACATGTTTCTAGAAAACAGATAAAAAAATGTATGAGTTGTGTATTTTTTTATCCTTCACAGTTTTTATTATATTTAAATTCTCAGTGTATCACAATCACAGTTATAGAAGAATGTAAAAACGTTCAAAAAACTGGTTCACAGATGATAAAAATGCTTTATAATTAGATGCAGATAAAACACAATGGTCTCATTTTGACCCAAAGAGCATTTATTTTTATAATACATCTGAACTGGGGCAAGACAAATTTAACTTTTTACTTATTACATGAAAAAAAAATCAGCCCCTTTAACATTTCAACAGAGCAGACTTCCACCATTTTGTGCATGTTTGACTAAGAGTATTGTAAATCTCCTGGTGCAATCATAATCCAAGGAATTAAACTTTAAAAGATCTTAATAGCAGTTATTTCTTCATGTTGTCTGCAGTGAAATGGAGCGAAGGATCATGGGATTTGTAGTTCCCTCATACTGCAACAAAATAATGTATTTAAAGAATTGGCATTACACTTCAATGAGATATTAATTGTTAACACATTAATTTTATTTGGATCACCACGTTACCTTTTATTGTTTTGAAAATGCTACATCAGCCAAAAAACAATGAAGGTAAGCAGGTAGTTTGTGAAGTTGTTGTGTACAGTTTTGTGTCATGTTTTTGTATATTTATGGAGAACTGTCAGGTAGGAGCACGGGTGACGTAGGTTCTGGGCTGAGGATTGTACAGAGTGTTCGAATACGGCCCTGGAGAGATTTCTAGATAACTCAAACTTGTGTGGCATCTAAAAAAAAAAAAAAAACCTCTTCAGACATGTTTTAGATGAGGGAACAAGATTATAACATGGAAAGAAAGGCAGGAAGCTCCAAAGACTAGATCAGGAGTGTGAAACTCAAATTCACAGAGGGTCAATATTAAAAACTGGCACTAAGTCGTGGGTCAAATTTCAACAACATCTGCAGGTTTTCTCTTCTTTCAGGATATGTAATGTTAAACCTTTTCTTCTTAAAATAAATGTTTAATAATAGTTTTGCTTAAACTTTGAATCCAGAACCAGCATAATATAAAATAATAACAAAATTTTAAATAATATGTCTCTATTCTATCTGTAGTCGGCGGGCAGCTCTAATACATATTTGATATGATCTAGCGGCCCAAATATAATTATATCGCGGGTCAAATTTCGGTCCCCGGGCCTGAGTTTGACATGTATACATGAAGTACCGTATTTTTCGGTCGATAAATCGCACTTTTTTCATGGTTTGGGTGTTTCCTGCGACTTATACTTAGGTGCAAATTAATTACATATTAAAATTTTCACACTGAAGTGTCGAGAGGCTTTAGTCTTGTGTGTCAGTATCTGCTGCTCCTGTTCCTCCTGTAACACTGTCACTTGGCTCTACTGTGCATGTCTCCGGCAGAAAGAGCATCTGTCCTGCTTCAAGTAATGAAATAATCAGCCGAAAACAGTAATCGTGCAGCAGAAAGAAAGTTTGGAGTGAGCGAGAACCTTGTGAGGGACTGATGAAAAACGGGGATGGAGAACACAGCTTCATGGTAACTGGGAGGATGCACCATGTAAACTTCCTGGAAGTCACTGGATGGATGGACAAAGCCTGGACTTCAGTGACACCGAAACCATCCTGTCGGGATTCAGAAAGGCCGGAATAATTCTAACTGGAACTGATGCTGAATCTAACGACAGCGACACAGAAGAGGAAGCGGCACGCCTCGTGGTCGCAGAGTTGCTCAGCAGTGACACCGAGGATGAAGAATCGAATGGATTTAGTCATTTGGAGTGAGATGGAGAGTTTGGTAAACTTGCCTTTCGAGATCGGTTCCTGGTCTCTGTTTTTTTAATATAAATTTCCCCCAAAAAGTGCAACTTATAGTCCTGTGCGACATATATATATATATATTTTTTTTTTCTTCTTCGTTATGCATTTTGTGGCTGGTGCGACTTACACTCCGGAGTAACTTATAGTCCAAAAGATACAGTAGATGTTGCATAATACCCCCTCATTTAGTATAAAGCTCTGTAATTCGATATATATTTTACAGCTAACAGTATTATTTTAGTTATTTTGACTATTGTAACATTCGTAAAATCATAACATTTGAATTTACCTGATGAGGTCGAGGAAGGCGTCGGCCGGGCTGACCTGCTCCACCTTCTGCTGTGTGGTGAACTCGTCTTTGGATCCTTTTCCGGGGTGAATGATCAGAACCATCACGATCCCGATGAAGACAGCGATGACGGTGGTGGAGGTGTAATAGATCACGGCCCTCATCCCCATTTTCCCCGACGCACGGCTGTCCAGAGCGGCCATACCTGAAAAACACACAAGCACATACAATCATACAGTAAATCATAATAAATCAACAGTATTTTTTTGTATATCAAAGTCATTCATATTTATTATTAGGGACTGGAATCATAGTTAGATAATTGCGTCATCATCCGTGATCAGCTTTTCAAAACAAACATGGCAGCTGGAAAAAAGATGATACAGAGGACTGAGAAACAGCGCAGATTTCTGTATAATCAGCGATACAAGAGGACTCAGGGGAGAAGTCTTATAACAAATACTGTTGCACAATCAGAACATCAAAACTCAGAATAAACCCAAAACCAAACCTTGACTAGACCAGAACTACAATGTGACCAAACCAAATCTACATTAGGTCTCAAACTGGGCCCAAAAATTTCAAACTCAATTTTGATACTAACAGAATAGATTGACATTTTAAACAGTAAATCTTAGTACTTTCTTTTGTGGAATTGGATCTTCATAATCCCTCAGTGGTCCAGGTAGGTTCCATAGTGGTCTGTGCTTGCTCAAATGAGTATCTAATTTCGATACGGCTTTTAGTATCGATTAGAATCAGACAGAGGTGGGGACTTGGAAGTCGTGACTTGAACTCAAGCCAGACTTGAGTCACTATTTTTAGGATTTGAGACTTGACTTGATAAAATGGACTAAGACTTGGGACTCGACTTGGACTTGAGGCCTGTAACTTGGGAAGATCTGAGAAGCTCTTTTAAATCTGAATTCTTTCTATTCTGACCATAATGATTTACACTAAGATCTTGTCAAGACATTTAAAATAAAATAAAATATAATTATAGTATGATTTTTTTTAAAGTACAATACAGTTTAAAATTCATATAAATTGCAAAAATCTAAGCTATATTTGGTATTTTGGTTTAAAGACTTGAAATGCCTTGAAGCTCAAAGCGGACGACTTGGACTTGACTTGGACTTGCCTGTCTTTGACTTGGAACTTAACTCGGACTTGAGGTCAAAGACTTGCAAAACAAAGACTTGGTCCCACCTCCGGTATCAGATTCTCTATACTTCTAGACTAAACTTGGACTAAACCCAGGACTAACCCTGAATTAGACCAGGACTAGAACGTGATCAAACAAATCTTTATTAGGACTGAAACTGGGCCCAAACCAGGACTAAGCATGACTCCCACCACACCCCAAGTCTCCAAAGATGGCAAAACCAGCTCCGTGTTTGGTACTGACCCCTGAACAAGCTTTATTCTGTCTGCAGTGACTTTCATGGGAAAAAGTTGAGTAAAATGAGGTGATTCACGCCCTTTGGATTTATCTGTGCGAACAAAGAATGACAAGAAATATAATCCTCCTCCGACCTTTAGAGATGAGAACCGCACATCTGCCAAGCACCAACAGCCCTATTATCCTGTTTTACAAAAAAATCCACTGATAAAAAATGTTTGGTAACGGCCGGTAATGAGATGTAACCCAAACCCTCAGCCAAAGGAGAACGTATCAAATCACAGACTATTATCTGAAGGTCCTATATTACACAAAATTGACTCTTGTGAGCTTTAAATCATATTACCACATCAAAAATATACCTGGAGTTGTGTTTCGATCACACATGTGCATTATTACTCTGTCTACATCTCCCAAACTCAATATTAACAGCCAGTGTTGGGGAGTAACAGATTACATGTACTGGAGTGACGTAATCAGAGTACAAATTATGAGTAACTGTATTCAGTTACAGTTACTGTTTCAGTGAGTGGTAATTGGATTACAGTTACTTTGTTGAAATAAATGGATTACACAGAGGTATTTTCGTGTTTTCACATTATTTTTATTTATTTTTTTATTTTTTCGGTAATTCCAGTCATTGCTGGAAAATAAACCAGGTCTAAACCAGGACTAAATCAGGACTAAAACCAGGTCTAAACCAGGTCTAAACTAGATCTAAACCAGGTCTAAACCAGGACTAAACCTGGACTAAACCAGGACTAAAACCAGGTCTAAACTAGATCTAAACCAGGTCTAAACCAGGATAAAACCAGGTCTAAACTAGATCCAAACTAGATCTAAACCAAGTGTAAACCAGGACTAAAACCAGGTCTAAACTAGATCTAAACCAGGACTAAAACCAGGTCTAAACTAGATCTAAACCAGGACTAAAACCAGGTCTAAACTAGATCTAAACCAGGACTAAAACCAGGTCTAAACTAGATCTAAACCAGGACTAAAACCAGGTCTAAACTAGATCTAAACCAGGACTAAAACCAGGTCTAAACTAGATCTAAACCAGGACTAAAACCAGGTCTAAACTAGATCTAAACCAGGTCTAAACCAGGACTAAAACCAGGTCTAAACTAGATCTAAACCAGGTCTAAACCAGGATAAAACCAGGTCTAAACTAGATCCAAACTAGATCTAAACCAAGTGTAAACCAGGACTAAAACCAGGTCTAAACTAGATCTAAACCAGGACTAAAACCAGGTCTAAACTAGATCTAAACCAGGACTAAAACCAGGTCTAAACTAGATCTAAACCAGGACTAAAACCAGGTCTAAACTAGATCTAAACCAGGTCTAAACTAGATCTAAACCAGGACTAAAACCAGGTCTAAACTAGATCTAAACCAGGACTAAAACCAGGTCTAAACTAGATCTAAACCAGGACTAAAACCAGGTCTAAACTAGATCTAAACCAGGTCTAAACCAGGACTAAAACCAAGTCTAAACTAGATCTAAACCAGGACTAAAACAGGACTAAAACAGGATTTAACAGGATTTAACAGGAGTAAACCATGCTGCGTGGACGTGTCTCCTCTTCTATCAATAATATTTTTAATACGGTTAAGTATCCTGGTCTTTCCTTGTCTACAGCAAATCAAGTAATCCAAAGTATTCAGATTACGTTACTCACTTTAAGTAATTTAATGGATTCCGTTACAAACTACATTTTGGGGTATGTAATCTGTAATCTGTAGGGGAATACATTTTAAAAGTCACCTTCCCAACACTGTTAACAGCTATCATTTACATTCTGGTCAGTAAACATTGGAAATTGCAGGGCTCTAATGAAGGTGTATGGAATTTAAAAACACAACGGAGCACGTCCTGATGTCTTTACGCTCAATCTCAAGCCCGGCCAAATGTGATCGTCCTGTCAGGTTTGTTTTTTCAGTGATGCACGTGAAACACAGAAGCTCATTTGACGTCATTTACGAACAGTTTCTCTCACTACAAATGAACAGCATTTAGAGCTTGACTCACTGATTCTGCAGAAATCACGTCATGTTTTTTTGGATCATGAGTCGGCTCATTTTGCTCAGCTTTTCCCCATGAAAGTTTGTTTGTGGATGTTAGGTACACAGAGCTTTTTGCAGTGATTTGGGAAACATACAATTTTCCCCATCTTTGTTCATTTTTAAAAGAAAATTTAAACTAGAACTTCTAGAAAAATACAGTGAACCCCATGAAGCTGCTGGCTGTACTGGGGGAGTCACCGGTGACCAAACTCACATCTTCAAAAAGTATTGGAGAAGTGTGTATTCTGGATCCCAGTCAAATAATTCATTGATCTCAAAGCCTGATCTCTTCACATCTCAGGAGCTAAGCCGGGCCAGACCTGGTTAGTACTTGGATGGGAGACAGCTGGGAATACCAGGTGCCACAGTGGGGCGCCTGTGGCAACAAACTCAATGCCAGTGTGGAGTGAATGAATAATTTATGAAATTGTAAAGCAATTAAAAGCATCTAGAAAAGTGTTATATAAGACTAATGCATTTTTATTCATATTAAATTGGTTCATTTTCTGATATTAATAAATAAAATCCCTGATATCACAGGCAATGATATAAGGCCTCTACATTCTACAGCTATACTTCAGCTCTAGAAAAAAAACATGCACATTTTACAGCGAGGGACTAATAAAAAAAAAAAAACTTGTCATTAATAACAACCACTTTTAATGGATAGAACCATTGAGAGTGACCTGAGAGTGACCTGAGCAGACCTGAGACTGACCTGAGAGTGACCTGAGCAGACCTGAGCAGACAGGCGTGACAGGCGTGACAGGCGTAACAGGCGTGACAGTGGAGCTGTATTTTCAAAGTGTCTCCTCAGATTAGAGTCTTTATCTTCATACAGCGTAGGACAGGGAACAGTGGGTTTGTGTGGCTGCAGATCTGTCTCTTTCATTTCAGAGTTGAACACAATAGTGGTTTGTGTCTGGGGCCGAGCCTCTGCTCTGCTCTGCTCCTCTCGTCTACAGACTGAGGACTTAAGCTTTTGTCCAGTTCTGTTTGATCCTCTGCCTCTCCTCCTCATCCTCCCTCCCTCATTCTTAGATTTTACGCCTCCAAACGGCCACACAGACATGGTTAGAGTTTGTTAACAAACTCTGTGTTTCTGCTAAAATAGGAGACACTTCCAGGCAGAGGTGGGGATTTTCAAGCTGTGACTTGGACTCATGTCAGACTTGAGTCACTATTTTTAGGACTTGAGACTTGACTTGAGAAAACTTGACGCTTCTAAAAATATATGTTTTTAGAAAATACTTTTCTCTTTACAGTTGATAAATGCAGTACTGTGATACGGTATCCTCAAATGTACTACAGTAATACACAGTATTATACAGTAAAATACAGTACAATACAGTAAAAGAGAGGGAACTACAGAGAACTACATGATAAAATAATTGTTATTTAGCACTTTTAAATCTGAATTCATTCTGTTCTGACCATAATCATTCATACTCAGATCTTGTCAAGACATTTAAAAAGAAAAAAAACACATATATATACATATATACATATATATATAATATATATATATATATATATATATATATATATATATATATATATATATATATATATATATATATATATATATATATATATATATATATATATATATATATATATATATATATATATATATATATACATAGCATATTATATATGCTATATAAATATACTATGACTTTTTAAGTACAATTTAATTTAAAATTCATATAAATTGCAAAAATCTAATCTCTAA